AGGGTTCCCCTACTTTTTTCTTGACTACAGGAAAAAGGGTGCCAACTTACTCTAACCTCTCTACTGGAGGACCTAGATGTGGCTGTGGTCAAAGCCGTTTTGGGATCCCATGTTGGGGTAGGGGCACCACCCATTTTAGTCGATTTTAGTCTATTTTTTGGGGCGCAAAAGATGTGAGTCTTCTTCCATGTGCTGAAAAGAGTATTATTTGTTCATTTCCCCTGTTGGTTTTACAGGGAATCTATCACTACTGGATTTTTCTGTTTTTTTCAGACGTGGCCGTGGTTGTCAAAAACCGTTTTGGGATCCCATGTTGGGGTAGGTGCACCACCCATTTGGGGGGTACGGGATTTTGAGAATATTTTTACGTTCCCCTGTTGGTTTTAAAGGGAATCTATCACTACTGGACATACTTTTTATGCTTTCCAGGGGTCTTAACCAAATGAAAGTCTTGCTGTTGCGATGGGAAGGGGTGAGGGAATATGACCCCTTATGAACCATCCAGCTGGTGGTTTCCTTTGACTGAGGGAATTCCTGGGTTCATTCCCACATCCCTACTGAGCACCAGCCAGCTGTTTTGAATGCTAAGTTTGACCTGTTGCTGTTCGTGTGCGGTTGGATTTACAAAACAAGAGTCTTTGGTTTCATCTTTCAACTTGTCCTGTTTGGCTGAAATTATGTGTTTGTCAGTATGGTCAATTAACCTTCGTCTGCTTGGCCTTCGTCTGCTTAGTCGAAGATGATTCTTTTCCTTTCCAGAAAACTCATTTTGGGCAGGGGCCAATTGCCATCATGAAGTCTGAATGTGAATCACTGGGTGCACGTGGGGTTCTTCGTGGTGACGGTGATTGTGATGATGGCGATGGTGGGGATGATGCTGCTGCTGATTTTGATGATGATGATGATGATGATGATGATGATGATGGTGATGACGATGCGTTGTGCCATCACTGGGGAGTAGTTTTCTCCAAATAGAGGACCCCTTTGTCATTGTCTGAAAGGGCAACGCAACAAACCAACCATTGTTTGGGGTCCCCAATCTGGTTCCTTGCCATACTCGGTAGCGCCCCCAGAATGGATTTGGTCTTTCCCCGTGGTGTGCCGTGGAAAGGGCTCTGAGGCGCCAAAACAAACGCAGATTCTGAGAACATTCCGTGCGTCGAGGTCCTGGGACACACCTTCGACGTGCTTTTGCTATGCAGCACCTATGTCCTGCCGCTCGCTTGCAGAAGGGAGCGGGGCGGGTGTCCCCGCGGGCGAACCCCGAGGTTCCATTTGTTGACGCAGATACCTTGAGGGCTGTTTCACCCCCCAAAAAAAAACAAAAAAAACAAAAACAACGACTCCTGACTTGAAGCCTGCCAGATGAAAGAATGAAACCCTGCAAGAACATGCAAGAACCGTTCCTCAGAGCCCTACGAACATTGTAGACCCTTGAGAAAGGATCTACAAACCTTTCCTATCCTTTCCTGCGATGGTTGGGGTTTGTTTTCTCTTTGCGCTCGTAGATGCAGGCTAGTTTCACGGCTGGGCACGAGCGTTCTTTTGCGCGTAGCAACGAATACTTGATGGCCATCGCATCAGGATGTTGCTCATGAGTTTGTTCTGGGCAATCCAAGTTTCTTAAATAGTTTCGCCTATTTTAAAGCGAGCTCACGTGGGAGTACTGCGAGCTCACCATGACAAAGGTCCTCGAAAAATCCTGGATTTATTAGCTTTTGAAGAATGCTTTTGCAGAAAATATTAGTTGGAACTTGTTCTCCTCGGCTCGTCCTTGACTCGGCCATTTTTTAAAATTTGTCTCAAGGACCTACTTCATGGTAACGCGGCCCCCGGTGCCCTACATGGACTACCTGGTGCCCGGTCTGCTGCTCTCCTTCAGCGCGGCCGCCTGCAGTTTCTTCATTTCCACCTTGGTGCAGCCGCAGAATGCCGGGGCCTCAGGGGGCCCGGCGCTCCGCTCTGCGGGCCTTGAAGGCATCGCTTTGGGCGCCGCCCAAAACGTGAAAAGTGGGCCATTTTGGTCGGGGGTTTGCTGGGGTCCTCATTGGTTTGAGGAGTTCTTTAAAGTCAATGCTCAATCCTTGTGTCAGATGTGGACGGCTGGCTACGTATTAGGAGTGCGTAGCTTGAACAGACATGTGGGTGTCAGTGCAGGGGTAGACTCTGTCAAGCCAGGAAGGACTACTGGTGTGCCGAAGCAAGTCATTCTCTGGCCAGGTTTGGCTAGGAAACAATGGTGCGTGGCTTGGTTTTGGCAGCTTGGTTGCCTCGCCCTGGTTGCAAGCGGGTCAAAGGCTGTGCCCATTAAACGGTGCAAACAAACGTCAACCACCTCAAATTGAAAAATAGTAAAAGCACATCTGCCCAAATACAACCCGCCCCTCAACAAAATGAAACCCGCCCCTCAACAATCAAAGCCCATGGCAACTTCAAACCAATGCCGTAAAACCGATGCAGCGTGGCCAAGGCTATGACCGCAGCAGTGATTTTCATCCTGGTGGGCTGCGGTATTCTGGGGAATCCTTTCAAGATGAAGGCCTGTGTTGTGCATGCCCAGGCTGCAGTTGTTGTTTTTAAAGCTGTTGCAACATCTTGGCATTTTGGCATGTTCTTATGCTGCTATACTGTGCAATCATTTGGATTACATACATTGCGGGCAAACAAAGAGGTTCTGCATGGGGTCGCGGGTTCGCTTCGGTCCTAGTTGCTGGCTTGCTTCGGTCCTAGTTTTCATCTCGCTTCGGTCCTAGTTTCCTTACTCGCTTCGGTCCTAGTTTCTTCGCCGTTGACTATGGTGTTTGAGAGGCAACATCCTTGTCGACCCCACCCCACCCGGCATGTCTTGTTGTTAGGTGTTTGAGAGGCAACATCCTTGTCGACCCCACCCCGCCCGGCATGTCTTGTTGTTAGGTGTTTGAGAGGCAACATCCTTGTCGACCCCACCCCGCCCGGCATGTCTTGTTGTTAGGTGTTTGAGAGGCAACATCCTTGTCGACCCCACCCCGCCCGGCATGTCTTGTTGTTAGGTGTTTGAGAGGCAACATCCTTGTCGACCCCACCCCACCCGGCATGTCTTGTTGTTAGGTGTTTGAGAGGCAACATCCTTGTCGACCCCACCCCACGCGGCATGTCTTGTTGTTAGGTGTTTGAGAGGCAACACCCTTTGCGTGTGTCCTGTTGTTAGTGCTCAAAAAGCTATCTTCCACTGCGCCTGAAGTGATCCAAAAATTGCGACAGAAGTGATCCGCAAATGCTCAAACTACGACCAAAGTGAGTGGATTTCAGCTGCGACCAAAGTGATCCAAAAACTGCGACCAAAGTGATCCCCCCGCCTCTGCATGGCCCCAGCCAATGCCATTCTTGGTCTGGGCTGCGATAGCACGCAGACCTCGCTCGATGGCGGCGTGAACGAAGTGCTCACATGGTTCTCCCTGACCCGCTGGGCTTTCCCTATGATCCTCTCTACGACCTTGGACCACGCAGACGAAGACGGTGTTTGCACTGACCCGAAACTCACCTTGATACTGGAAAGCTGCTCGGAGACATGAGTCTCTGTGGAGTTTTTTTTTTGAGGGCGCCATAGGGCGCCTGCTTTGGATGGTTTCAAAGCGAATTGAAATGGAGGGTCCCCGATTTTGACATAAACCCACGTTACTCAGACGGGGTGGCACGGATGGACGGTCTGGCTGCACTTCTGAGTCAAGTCCCAGCTTCAATCTGTTGGCGCTTGGACAACTCTGTGCTCAGCGCCTGTTTTTTTTGGTTTTTTGGGGGGATTGAGAACACAATCTAGGTCCCCCAGTAGTGCCCTGTTGCCCGTGTTTGAGGGGAGGGTTCCCCTACTAAAATAGACTACAGAAAAAAGGGTACCCTTGTTCTAACCTCAACCTCCTCTACTGGAGGACCTAGCAATACTCCTATGACACTTGCGTTTACAAGCATCCCTAGGTCAAACTTGGCCAAGCGTTGCTTGCAGATCTGGGGGCTTGTTGGCGAAGGTTCAGCTAGTCCGGTAAACCATTCGCGCCTTCAGAAGAATAGGGATAGTGGGGAGCATTCGGAGTTGGGTGAGGGGGGAAAAAACATCAGCGCCAATCTCTCAGCTGTGCCTTTTGGTTTCCGGCTCAGGCTACAAGGATGCCATGTTCGACCAATACACCTTGCGCCAGCAGAGCATTTGCGCCTTGAGCGCCACCACGCTGCTGGCCACGATCGGCGCCTTCATCGGCCTGAAGTTCACCAATCGTCACAAGCAAGTCTGAGAGTCTTGCACGAAGAAAGACGTGCGAAGACGTTCGACTGGTTTTTTGTTTCTTTCAACATATTGAAAAAGCGGGTTTCCCATGTTCATTGACATTCCTAAATCTCTTCAATTGAGCTGCCAAAAGCGTTCAGTTTCCCATTCCAGCCGATTTTTGGCGGAATGAGCGTGCCTTTGGCGACTTTGCTTTGCAAGGGATTCCGCCGACTCTGTGCATGGGCTCCCTGTCAATCAGGAGAGCTGCGGCTGGCTTATGCGAACTTCCTTTGAACCATTAGCCAGATGTGCGCACTTTCCGCACCCTGACCAGGCTCCGCAAAGGACGGAGGCTCTGGCCTGCATGTCCTGTGAAGAAAAGTTTGGCAAGGGCATGCGGCGAGGCCCATCTGGGAACAGCGACGTGCGTCAGCCAATTTGTTTTGATCACCAGCTTGAGCTTCTTCTTGCGACCACGTCGCAGGGGGCTGCATGGCAGTGGAAGCTCCTTAGGCGTACTGGCGTCAACTTGTGGCTCTTCAGCACCCTTAAGGTTGGCCTCACGAAACTAAAGGCACATGACGCTTGTGCAATTCGCCCTTTCTAGGGGTGCCTTCCATTTCTATTCTTCCCAGGGATCCTTCTTTTCAGGAAACCATCAAAAACCCAGGGGAAACAGCCGGATATTGAAAAGAACGATGGTTGAAAAGAATGGGGATTCACCAGGACATTTGTGGCTAGGAGCATTTTTCTTCCCCAGGAGTCTTTGGCCTGCACTGGGCTGCCCGCGGGAGAGCCGGGCGCTCAGAGACTCAGATTCGGCGGAGCTCACGTCTAAGTTTTTGTTCAAGGCCGGGCCCGACGACATATGCAGCATCTGGCCATCTTGTTTTCTGCGTGCCCTTTTTTTGTGCGCCAAGAAGGGTGTGTGTTTGCAAGGGTGTGTCTGTGCGTCTGTGTGTTTGTTGTGTCTGTGGTAGTTGTGTCTGTGGTAGTTGTGTCTGTGTCTGTTGATTTCGGTGTCTGTGGAGTCTGTGCTGGTGTCTGTGGTGTCTGTGGTGTCTCTTGTGTCTGTGGCGTCTGTGGCGTCTGTGGCGTCTGTGGTGTCTGTGGTGTCCGTGGTGTCTGTGGTCTGTACTTTTTGTGTGTGTGTCTGTGTGCCTGTGTGTCTGTCCGTGGTTGTGTTCGGGGTCTCCCTGAAGAGGCGGGGGTGAATGGAGGAACGCTGATTTCCAGCAGGGCTAAAAGTCATTGGCTGAAAGCAAGCCCCCCACTTGTTCTCAGCCCACATGCCCATGCACGGCGCTGTGCATTTTGCAAGGTTTCCGGCTGCAACGCCGGAGGCAAGCCAGAGGCCGGGGGGGGGGGCGGCAAGGATCCAAGCGGCTTCACACACGTGTCCGCAGGCTTGAGCAGTTGGATTTTTGTGTCTGTTTGAATTGTGTGGGTGTTGTTGTTCAAGGGGAAGACCAAGAGAAAACCACCCTTTTTGGCGCCACGCACCCATTTCATTCTCCCGTCCTTGCCACCAATGCGCGTGCGCGGCTAATGACGGGTACCCCACGAAAAAAGACCCCGCGCAGTTCCTCTTTTCTTGTGCAGCTGGGATTTTTTGCCGGGCGCAAAGCGCCAGAATCACACAGAGATTTCAGAGCGGGAGAGGGACAAGGGTTTTTTGGAGGGATACTGGTAAATCGGCTGGACAGGCTGAGGAATCGGTTTTTTGTCATGGGAAGATTAGACATGAGTTGCCGGGATCTTTCACACGCAGGGCGTGGTCCACGAACTACACGCCGACCAGACTGCAGCTGCTGCCTTAGCTTCACACATAGGAAAAGGGCTTCACCCGCTGCTCAATTCTGTTTGGGTTCGCCAGCGTCATAGGTGTCCTTGTTGGTCGTTTTGGTAGAAAAATAGATGCCCCTGGTTTACCTGGTGGTTTAATCATCTACCAGGGCCGTCTATTTCCCCAAAAAGGACACCTATGGCCAGCGTGCTGCAGCGCATTATTGGAACATTCAATGCAAAGGGAAGGATTCATGAAGCGGGTGGTGAGCATTTTTACTAATCGCAAAGACTGAGAGTTACCAAGGATTGGGAAACTTCTGCAATCCCAGACCTCTGCGCCTTTCTTCTCACTTGGGACAGAATGTTTTTTCCCTTCAACTAATCCACTTGTTTTCCGGGCCTGTAACCAAACAAACACACACCGCCTGGGATTCTTCTTTTGGTGTGTCTGGTTTTCGGGCTTGCCCCCCAAAATGGCGCACGAAAAACGTCCAAAACAAACCAAGAAAAACAAAACAAACTCCAAAACAAACCAAACAAATAAACTCCAATACAAACCCAAAAAAGACAAATACAAAAACAACTCCAAGACAAACCAAATACACAAACAAAACAAAACAGTGCAAAAATACAAACTCCAAATCAAACTAAAACAACACAACAAACAAGAACCACAGAAACAAACAAACCAAAAAAGCAAAAACAAGCCAAACTCCAAAACAAACTCCAAGGCAACCCAAAAATCAAAACAAGCTCCAAAACAAACCAAACAACCAAAACACAAATCCACGGCAAGCCGTGCGAGGTGCTGGCCGCTGAACTCCTACTCCCAGCCGGCGTATTGCAGGCCACTGAAATGAAGCCCCCGTGGGTTTTGGGATGCAGCGGGATCGTGGACCCTTTTTAACGTGTTTACGCCTTTTGGATGGTTTCCCTCCCGGAGGTGCCTTCTGTTAATTCATGGGAGCTGGGGAGGGAGGGGAGGGGGAGGGAGCCCAAATCATGGTTGTTGCTGGGAACATTGGACACATTTTTGCTTGTTGTGGTTTGGTGGTTGAAATCCAACCACTTAACTGCTGAAATTTGAATTTTTGTTCCCCTTCCAACGTCAACCAAGGTTTGGGTGGTTTCTTTCATTTCCCCTCCCCTCCCCCCCAAAACGTAAAATAAAATCAATGCAACAACTACATCGATCAATCAATCACCTTTTGCATGCCCCAGTCTGGCCCAGAGTGCAGAGGATGTGGAGTGAAGGCCTCCCCAAACGCATGGAAGGTCAATGGATGAGAACGAAAGCTAATCGGGCTTACGGAAAATGGGTTTGAGAATCCAATTTGTTTTACGCGGAACCACTTTGCATTCCTACTTCCCTGCCCTGCCTTGTTTTTCCTTGCGGATAGGCAATCCGTTTAGGAACATGTCTCTGCACCCCCAAACTGGCAATAAGTATCCGACGCTGGCAGCTGAAGATCTCAGTCTTCATGTGTTTTCGCTGCTGCGTTTGAGGTGAGAGGTAGTCCTTCTTGGCTGCGCGGGATTTGAGAACATAAGTTGCTATGTGCTGCACTAGGAGGTTTCACCTTGGTACCACAGAAAAGGGACATGATTTTCCCTGCAGACCTTGGACGGGTCGCAAGAAAGAGTCCATATCGCACCCCGCGGGCTCAAGCAGCTGGGCAGGGTTGGGCAGAGTCTCTTGGCAACCAAGCCTTGAACCTTTGAAGGGGAACCAAAAGGAGATTCTTCAAGAAACATTCATTGAAACCATGGCTTAACCAGAGGCTCCGATGACCATTGACCATGCCCTTCACTCCATTTCGATTTATGTGTGCTTTTGCGGGCACCCTTTTTGGCTTGGTTTCACGGGCAACCAACAAGGAAAACACATTAGTATTAGTATGTTGTTGGGGGGAGTCCCCTAAAGAAGAGACACCCATATGACTGATTTGCTTTCCTATTATGACGCATGGGTGTCTTTTTTGGAGTTGGAATCCATTTGTTAAGTTGTTTTAATACAAAACTGTGTAGAATAGTCTTTGACATTTGAACTAACACTTGTCCCGACTCTGTTTCCAGGTTCTAAAGCCGAAGGGCAAAACCGGCCATGGATTGTCTTGTTTCTTTTAATTTGGACACCGAAGGGAAAAGCCCGTTAAACAATCTCCCGTTCGGCCCGCGCAGGCCTCACCCGGTGGTGTCTCTAGAGAACTCGTCCATGGGGTGCGGGGCTCAGAGAAATTCTCTTTGAGATCATAGGCTTTGTTCTTTTCCTTTTTGTTGGGGAGAGATATGCGTGGTAGACTTTTAGGGTTTGTGGTATACTTTTAGTGGTAGATTAGACAAATGAGATAATTTTCTTAACAAACAAGTGGTAGATAATCAAACAGTTCAGACTTTTTTGACCAGTCCACTCAGGAAGTGAGTTCTTGGAAGGTCATGCCCTTGCTGGTTTCAACAGGGTGAACCCGGGCCATTTCACTTTCAAGGGAACCTCCAAACGTGGAGACCTGGAAATCGATCGTTTCAAAGGACACCGGAAAAGTTAAAAAAGGACATAAACTTTGATTTGGGGACATCCAGCAGGCAGCCCCTGTTTCAAGCATCACTTTCTGAGCTTTGCGGTGCAGAAACTCCCTCGCTGGCGAACATGGACGGAGCTGGTTTCCCATTTGCTGAAATGAACATGTTTTTGCCTGTTTGGTTTTAAAGTTGGGATCGATTTCACTACTGGGAGGATTGTCTCATTTGTCATCCCCTTCACTCACACGGGGAATTGTGCAATCTAAAAGTACCCATGTGTGCCAAGTCGTGTCGACCTCACTTGTGGGAAGACCGCTATTCCTTGGATGAGGGCCTTCTCAAATTCAGGGGCTCCTTCTGAACTTCCAAAAGTTGGCTTCCCGTTCGCTTCCCTTTGGCCCACAAGAAGGGTTTGTTGTTCAAAGCCGACCTTTTAACCCTTGCATGTCGCAATGTTGGTCCATATTTAGTCCTTTTTATACCCCAAAAGGTGATCACCTTCTAGTTCCAGGTCTTTAAGGGGCAACTGACTTTATCTTCAATCATATGGGGTCAAAATCCCCCTGCCGTTTGGTAGGTGCAACCAAAATGCGGCATCCCAACTGGCCCAATCGCAGGCAGTGCGGAGACCTGCAGCTCGTAACGCCTCCAGAGGGCCAGCCTGAAGCTGAGCGATGGGCACGCGCGAGAGACATGAGTAAATGAGGAAAATGCATACGGACACGCACAGAGAGAGAGAGAGAGATAGTTAGAGAGAGGTAGACAGAGAGAGATGGAGAGAGAGAGAGATAGAGAGAGGTAGAGAGAGAGAGAGATAGTTAGAGAGAGGTAGATAGAGAGAGAGAGATAGAGAGAGAGAGGTAGAGAGAGGTAGAGAGAGAGAGAGAGATAGTTAGATACAGGTAGAGAGAGAGAGAGAGCTGGAGAGAGAGATAGAGAGAGAGAGAGAGGTAGAGAGAGAGAGAGATAGTTAGAGAGAGGTAGACAGAGAGAGATGAGAGAGAGAGGTAGAGAAAGAGAGAGAGAGAGATAGTTAGATAGAGGTAGAGAGAGAGAAAGATGGAGAGAGAGACAGAGAGAGGGAGGTAGAGCGAGAGAGAGATAGTTCGAGAGAGGTAGAGAGAGAGAGAGATAGTTAGACAGAGGTAGAGAGAGAGAGAGATGGAGAGAGAGATAGAGAGAGAGAGATAGATAGTTAGAGAGAGGTAGAGAGAGAGAGAGAGAGTCGGAGAGAGAGGTAGAGAGAGAGAGAGAGGTAGAGAGAGAGAGAGAGAGTCGGAGAGAGAGGTAGAGAGAGAGAGAGAGATAGAGAGAGAGAGAGAGGTAGAGAGGGAGAGATAGTTAGAGAGAGGTAGACAGATAGATAGATGGAGAGAGAGAAAGAGTTTGGAGAGATAGAGGTAGAGAGGGACAGAGAGATAGAGAAAGAGTGGGGGATAGAGAGATAGATCGACAGACAGAGAGAAAGATAGAGAGAGATAGAGATAGAGAGAGAGAGAGAGACAGAGAGAGAATAGAGAGACAGAGCAAAAGCAGAGATAGAGAGATAGAGGAATACAGAGATCAGATATAGAGAGATAGAGGTATAGAGAGACAGAGAGGTAGAGAGATAGGTAGGTAGATACGTAGATAGTTGTGTCTTCACACACCTATTGCACATATGTATATGTATATATGTAGGCACATGCAATAGTATTTAGATATATGATATGCATATAGACCTCCATCTGCAATGTGTTTGAACAAGGCAGGTTTAGCTACACCCAGCTCAACTTTGGCTCAGGTCATGTGCGCAAAACTGCGCGGGAAACGTGCTGTGCGCGAACCCCAGAGATCGGCGCTGGTCTGCCGGGAAGTGAGCATTTCTGGGTGTCTCAAAGCAACTGGCAAATGATATTCCTTTACATCAGCATGTAGAGGGGTCTTGTGAGAATGCCACATCAGCGGACTCAGTTGTTGGCTGGCGGAGATGAGTGAAAGCGGCCACTCAGCTGGTTGCGGAGTGGAATGATGTAGCGTAGGACCGAGCGTTGCGCTCGGATCGAGGCTGCAACCTGTACCCGTACGGTAGTTGGAAGCTGGACGGCATGTGTTTGGTGGAAATTGTTGTATAGTTGTGTTAGCTTGCGAGCGAACATCGCCAAGACGATATTCTAAAGCACTCAGCATGCTTCCTGCTGCACGAAAACAGCTATTGTTGGTCGCTAGCTGGCACTCCACCCGATCTTAGAGCGGTCGATTTCGCTCGTCACAAGCGAGGTTCTACCTGGCAGCTGCGGGAGGTTGGGGCGCAGCGCGAGTTCAGTTCCGTTGTCGTTTGTTTGCCAAACACGTTCGCAACTGCGGTTTTCCCAGCTGCCAGCCAGGCTGTTGACTCTTGATGCCTGTTTGCCCAAGGCATATTTTAGCTCAAAACAGGTCCCTCGACATCAAGAACGCGACGCAATCCCCAGCCGGAGATGGCATACAGCCTGAGATATGTCAGGTTCCTGGGCTGGATGTGCCTGGCAGCGGCAGAGTCCGCAGATTTCCAGCTGCGTGGATCAGCCGAACCTCGAAGCCTCAATGCGCCTTGGACAAGGTCCAAAAAGCGCGAGCAGGCTTCAAGGGCGAGGGCTGGAGTATGTACGTTTGCTGTTTGCATTGTTAGTTTTCTTGTAGCTTGTGAAGCTCATGTTGGAGCCTTTTCTTTGCTGTTGTTTCGTTTTTGGTTTTGTAGCTTGTGAAAAGGCACTTTGCTCTGTCATTTGCCCAAATGGGTATGGGTCAAGATTATACCGCCAAGGGGACCGCAGGTTTTAGTCCTTGTTTCCTTTTTCAGGGTTCCGTTTTGGGTACCTATTTTTGACCCACACCCAAATTGGAGGGATGAGCCTGAGGATGTTCCAGATTGCCAAGGGCGCCCCGGCTTTGAGCTCGCCAGTACAGCGTGGTGTGGCCGCCAAACCGAGCCATTTGCATGCTTCAAGGAGGCCACGAACCTCAACCCCATTTGGGATTGCCACCTTCAAGCGGGAGGCCTGGCTCCTTGCAAAATGGGTTTGTAGGAAACCCCTCTTTTCCGTGGAGACAGGGAAAACCAAGATCAAGGGGTTGGGCTACAGAAAATTCTACAGGAAAACAGCTGATTTAGGGTGTTTTGGGGCCATTTCCTGTAGATTTTCCTGTGACCCAACCCTTTGACAAAAGGTTTAACATGGGTTCAAGCAATGATTGAAGCCCCGGCTATCGCCCAGGCATGTGCACGGAGGGCGGCATCCTTTGCGCCTGGCCAGCGCTCTTGGAGCCGCCCACCACGCCGGCGCCCGTGCCACCGCCACCGCTCGACGGCGCGGCGACGCGCTTTTTGACGTGGAACCTCTATGTCTTCACATTGGCGAGCCGTATCGATCCGGTGGCATGCCCAAAAAGGTCAAAGGGCTTCTCAGTGTTTCTTGTTCCTCTCCGGTAAGCTTACATGAATGTAACGTGTCATCTCCATCAAGCCTGGAGGCTTTTGGGAGCTTCTTGATGCGGCAAAGTCTTCCCTAGGAAAGTATTCAGGGCTCGTTAGGTGGTGAACGAGCTGCTGCGGATGCAGCCCGAAATCGCCGCCATCCCGGAAATGTGGACCGAGAAGTTCCAGATCTTGGCGCAGCTGAACCAGAGGTCCGGGGACGTGTGGGCCTTCGCGCCAGGAGGTGTCACAGAGACCTTCAACGATGCCGAGACTTGGCGAATTCGGAAGCTAACTTGGGAATCAGGATGCGCTCCGGACCTCAAAATCGATGCGTTTTCCTTACAGGAGACCCACCCCAGACATGAAAGGCCCTCCGGATTAATCCAAAGTTAGCATAACTGCGGATGGCATAAAAAAAGAGATTCCTCTAGAAATGTGGTTTTGGTTCCATGGGAGTAAGCGCTTGGCACATTTTGGAACCCAGGGCTTTGGGACGGGGGAGACTCGGAGAGGTCGCTCGCTCTCGCTCAGCCGAGGATATTTTGTACCGATCTGCTGCTCATTCTGCAGTCGGCACATTTTTTGTCTTTTTTGGGGTTTGGCTACCCCCAACAAACCATGTCCCATTGTTTGGATAGGTGCCTTTTTCTGTTTGGTTCCCATCAAACTAACCCCTCCCTTCGGGTTCCCAACCGCGTTCCTTTGTTTTTGTGTTTTTTTTGTGCCTTCCTTCGGGATATCTCACCAAAAGCCAGCTTTGCTCGGTGGATATCTCACCAAAAGCTGTTCTCATTCGTCTCACCAAAAGCCGCTTTTTATTGTGGCTATCTCACCAGACATTTTCCGTTTGTAAGAAAGCCTTCCTTGAGAGGATTTCCCAGGAAAATAACCAAACAAAACCCCCCTCCCCCCTCAAAAAAAAAAGCGACGCGCGCCACTCGTTTGCTGAGAGGACAAGTGGGAGCACTTGGCCAGCGACCTGGTGCCCTTTTCAGCGGGTCGGGCTGTGAACTGGGCGGTGCTGCGGCGGAAGTCGGATGGCTACACGCTGATCGCGGCAGGGACTCACCCGCTGTGTTGCCTCGGGGAGTCTCGGTCTTGAGACGCATATCGCGCAAAGGCGCGCATGAGGTGGTGGGTGGGTGAACCCGAGCCCGAGCCATTTCAATGTTTGGAGGGGGAGCTCAAAAAATGGAAGCCGACCGTTTCAGGGAAACCCAGTAAACGGGGAAATCCAGTGACCCCTGAACATGCTTCTTAGCCTTGGTTCTCAGCCGTCCGGTTCCTTAGGCGTTTTGAGTTGTCTTTAGTTGGTTTAGTTGAAATCTGTAACACCTGCGCAAATGGCTCAATCCCAACTGCTGCATTATGTCCACCCAGTTTAAAAGTCAACCCTTTGCGTGTTGTTTTTTTGCATGTAGCAAGGGGCTTTGCCCAATCTGGCTTTGTGTGTGTGTGTTGAGCTTCCAGCTTAGGACCACGTCATTCTTGAGGCGGTCACCTTTGTCATCAACGTGTTGCATGGCGTGCAGCAGAAGCATCCCTACCCCATTGCGCCTCAGTTGCAACCACCTAGATCCCCAATTGCCTTGATTTTCCAGCTACTTTGACCACATTATGGGCTACTAGTGGGTAAAGTGGCTGGAAATAGTGGCTACTTGGGGCTCCAGGCAGTGGATTCCGGCCTTGTGTTTCTTCTGTTTGGATTCCCGGTGCTCCTTGAAACTCAACGAAGCCGTTGGATGCCGGATGCCCACTTGTCCAGGGCTCCTTAAAAGATACATGTTGCAACCATTTGAAACATGTTGCTTTTTCAACACCAAAATAAAGTTGGAAACCATCATTTACAAGTTGCAATGTTCAGGTGTATACTGCATCCGGATCCCTGTTGTCCCCATGGAGATCCACTGAGGTACTGATGGGTGACTTGAACACTGGTTACTACCAGCCATCGCAGCAGCTTCTGAGGCTTGGGCAGGTGGATGCCTTTGGGAAGCACTGGGAAGCTCGTGCTCGAAAGAGGGCATTGGCTCGGGCGGGAGGTTCTGAAGATGGGTCCGAGCCTCAACCACCCCCCCCCCCAAAAAAAGAAGAAGAAGAACATTAAGTAAATGAAAGTAACCAATAAACTACTGGGTGTTTTTTTAGGGTACCCTTTTTTTGGTTAGTGTTCAAGGGAAACCAAAAGGAAGCCAACCATTTTTTTCGGGTAATCACCCTCAAAAAGACACCAACACATTGGCGACCCCTGAAATTTGGATCCGACAAAACGTCAAGATGCTTCCTGTCTGATTCAAAGAGGGTGTTCAGCATGCTATTATCCACAGCTCACGAGGCACGGGTTCCGAACATGCCAGACGCAGCAAAGGGACATGCCGATATGTACGGCCTCTCTTTGTTGCTGGGCTACACAAGTCTGGTGGGAGCTGTGCGATGTTTTCCATAGCAAAATCCGAGGCTGTGCACTTAGACGCGTCTCGTTTTGACCCTAGCCCTATCAGACGCACTAAGAGGTTTACTTTCTAGCTGGGCCGTTCAGGCGCACTCCTCAATCCTTGCGCCATGCAGGGGACTAGGATTGGCCAACGCTCCAATGCTTCCATGTGCTGAAAAGAATCTGTTTGTTCATTTCACGCTGTTTGGTTGTGAAGGGAATCTATCAGTTTTGGAAATAGTGTTGTTGTTTTTTTGCAGGGGCCTTAAGCAAATGGAAGATTTGAGGTTAAGGCCTGAAAACTTCCCCAGTGGCTCCACGCCCCTGCGCAGGAAAGCCTAGGGGACCACCCTGAAATAACCAACGGAAAACTGCTGGTTATAGGGCTCTGGTAAGAGTGAATTTGAACAGCCCAGTCTTTGTTCTCGTTTGGCCTGTGGATATTGAGGAGATCCCGCTGACCTTCAAGGATGCATGGGCTGAGCTGCATCCGGACAACCCGGATCCCTCAACCATCAACGACGACCCCGTCCGCTTGGACTACGTCTACTTCCAGAACACCCCTCTCAGAATCGGCCAGGAGAGGGTTGTGCTGTGCTTTTAGCTCTCAAGTCCTGGCAATGACCAAAAGGCGTGTGTCAAGATTAGATGTTGAGCCCCAAGATTGTGGTTTTCCTTCTGGGTTCCCTTCGAAACCAATCCAGAAAGGATGCCGCGCCTTTGCAAAACACACACACACACAAATATGTCATAGTCAGAAGTAGGTGAGCATTGCAAGGTTGATTTTTTGCGGACTGCGTAATCAGCGATCGTATTCAGGGTGCTTCTGGAAAAACAACCTAAAAACTGCACCGCCCTTTGGTATTTCGGTTGGGGGGCCAACAAAAAAACGACCGCTTCTGAGATTTTGAGAACCTCCTCCTCTGACCCAAGCAGGAAGCATCTTGGAAGGCGTAGTTGCCAGCCTGGCCCCGAGTCAAAGTGGGATCTGGGAAATCCCGAAGGTGGAAGCGCGCGTTGAAAGGGTGGACTTTCCATTTGCTTTAGAATAGTTGTTATTGTCCCCTTTTGGCTTCAAAGGGAATCTATCACTTCTGGACAGCTGTTTTTTCTCCAGGGGCTTAAGCAAATGGAAGAATCCATTTCGATGACCCCTGGAAATTGCAACGAACAATGGTTTCCAATGGTTTCAAAATAATGCAGAATTCCGTCCATCCGCGGAAGTGAATGGCCACCTTGCAGAGAGGGAGCGAGAGAGATGTTGGCACATTTCCAAGCTTCTTCTTTTTCCATGCATTGAGAGAACTCTCGACCTCTCCACCCCCCCCCCCCCAACCGCTCATACACGCGGGTCAAAAGTAGGTACCCAAAATGGAACCCTGGTAATTAAATGGAACCAAGGACGAACATCTGCGGTCTTAATTTTGACCCACACCCGGCCTATTAGCGGCTCATGGCGGCCGGCTCGCATCGTCAGGACTTGGTGACCTCTCAGGTTTGGCCACGTGCAGCCGGAAGCGATCACCGCGCGGTCTCCGGAGACTTGATCTTGCGCTGAGAGAGGGCCTTGCGGTTTGGGAAGCGCGTGGCGAATTCCCGGGGGAAGCTGCCCACGGCTCATGTTGTTTTCAGACGACTTAACTTGAAGGCAAGGCAAGCGTTGGTTGCCTCGGAGCCTTGCTTTGTGGAACGACTGTCTTGGTGGCAAGCAGTTTCAGCTTGGGCTTTGGCCAATCCAGGGAAGTCAGTTGCCATGCACTGCCGCTAAGCCCAACTCACGGAAGCCGGTGAGAAGGTTTTCCATTTCGCACGGGAAGGTATCATAGTGGGAGAGCTGATCTTGAGATTGGGCCGCTCGGGCGGGAGCTACTCACGAGCTCTCCCAATCCAGGTTGCCCACTTGGGATTCTGTGCTTGGTTTTTCAACCGGGGGCCAACAGAAATTGAAGCCATGGGTCCAGCGGGCAACCTGGTAATTCACTTGAATTCAATATTTTGACGCGCCTTCGCGCCGGATTTTCCCCTGTGCGCTCTTGATGAGCCCAGACACGGGGTATGTCTTTGAGGCCATGCTCCCCTGCATGCCACTACAACAGTGCGGGGAACATGGGCATACAGATCTTGTATAGGAAGACGCCAGGTCATTGGAGCGTTGGCACGCCAGAATTGGCGCTTGTCCAGACGCCGCTTTTGTTGCCCAGCTAGTGTGAGACTCCAGCTTGGGCCCATGCGACTCAGTCTGCATGTTCTTTTTCTGGTCTCTGAGCTGGGTGCATTACGTGATCCAGTGAGAAGCACCCCTTTGTTGGCGCAAACTGCTGGCTGGTTGGGGCAGCTCTGGTCCCCTAAAGTGACCTCAAAATTCGCCTCCAAGTGGTGAGATCCTTCCAAATGCTCACTTTAAGGGACCTAGTAGCTGGGCTAGAATCCTCGTAAGATACTCCGCGGGGTCTATCCCCCCCACACTGGCCTGCAGGATGTCCTGTGGATCCAAAGCATGGCCAAAAAGGTATGCGCCTGCAGCATGTGAATGTGTTAGCTACGCGGAGTGCTTGCTTCTTTGGGCAGGCAGGCAGGCAGGCAGGCAGTTGACGCTGAACCTGTCCTATTTCTGAATAGACTTGGCACGTCCAAAGGAAAGGGGTGAGCAGTTCGGAATTGAGATTGAGAGGAGCGGTTGCCTCTATCAAAGGGTTGGGTTGCAGGAAGTTCTGTTGGAGTGTTTTCGGGCCACGTCCCCTCGATTTGCCTGTCGCCAAACCCTTTGATTGCAACTTCGTGAGCCAAGACCTCGACTCTTTGGCAGGAAGGTCGCTGCTATCAAGGCCGCTGCCCCCAGTGACCGCGTTCACCGCCAGATGGAGTTTCTTGTTGCCACCCGGGTGGTGCAATTGTCTGGTCAAGGGCATTTCCAGGGGTTTGGAGGTTGGGATGCTTGTAAACCAATAGCTTGTACCGCAGCAACTGGGCCCCTAAGCCCTAAAATCAATCGCTAGATTGTGCGGAAATTTGTTTTTGAGGGTACAACCGTATTCCTCCAGAATTTGGGGGAATATGTTTTGTACAGGTGTGTTTGCCCACTCACCCGCCAATGGGTCCGAAGACGTCCCCGAGCAACGAATCGACGAAGCCCAGGCCTTGGCATTGACTGCAATGCACAGCTCGCAGTCCGCGACGCTGGTCGGCTCCAACACGGGCTCTACAGGGCCCGGTTTCGTCGCGCCGAAACCGTGGCATCACGTGTCGGGATCTGGGTGGTTGTGTGGTCTCCTTTTGTTTCTCAGAGGGGGGAGGGGAAACATATGTGGTGTTTCTCACGGCGTTTGTTCCTGGGTTCATTGGGGAATTTGGCCGGTTTTTTTAGCTTGGAAGTGGCTGTTGGGCTAGGATCCCCCTGTCCAGTGCCACATCCCCGCCTACCAAAGCAAAATGGTCTTGCAGGTGCCCTCCCAGAGGTGACTTCTGTGAGAATCTATTGGAAGGTTTCCATTTGCTTCGGAATATGTTTATGTTCCCCTGTTGGTTTTAAGAGAGTCTATCACTACTGGAAACTGTTTTTTTTTTTTTTTGCCAGGGGTCCTAACAGAATAGAAGAAGGGAGGGTAAACCCCATGGTGTCCATGGACAGCCCACTGAAGCTAGAACAAGGGCCGCTGCCTTGGGCTTTTTCTCATGCGCGCATGCGCGCGCGAAAAGAGTTGCCAGGTCATTGCCAACCTGACGGGGGTTCAGCTCTCAGGCCAGGTGGCCTATGCATTTTATGCACTTTGAGTCCATGGAAGCCATTTGCATCCCGGGATGAACATCCATTTGCCACCTGTTTTGATGTTCACCAAGGGTTTCCTGGGTTTTGCCCCACAGCCACTTGGGTGGGTTTATGTGGGGAATTGGCCCCCCCCCCAAAAAAAAGAAGAGAGACTTATTTCAGGCTGGTGAAATATTATAATTCACCCAGATCCACGGAAACCATTGTTCGTTGGTATTTACAGGGCCGTCATCAGACATCAGGGTTTCTGAAGGGCGGTGCGAAATGAATGTCGCAACCATTTACAGTATGGGAGTTTCCTCAAAGATTCGGAAAAGCCGAAGCTTCTGGTTGAGATGGGGCTTAAGCCAAGAAACTGTCTGTTGGACTTCAACTTTCTTGGTTGAAACAGTTTGGATTTTCTGAATTGAGCCTACGAACAGTTGAAGACTTGTCACAGGGGGTCAATAGCAACCCTGAGTCAATGCTGAATCATATGCGTGCTGGGTGTTCTGTTTGGCTGCCCTTTAAGCACGGCCAAAAAGGGGGACCCTCAAAAAAGGACAGACCCATGTTTCTTGGGCTTGGTAGGGACGGTGGACCCGTATTCTTGTGCCCTGTTTTTGGTGGTTCATCCGGCTTCACCAAAGGGGATGCTCAATAAGATGGTGAGGGCGCACTCCAAGTTTCTAAGATGCTTCAAGAAAGAAGCATTCCTGGAAATCACTCTTTCCTGTTTTCTCAAGCACCTGGAAATTGGCTCTAGAAACACCAATCGGAAGCCAAAGAAAAGGAGACGAGAACAGGGTCTGGCTGGGACACACGGCGGCTTCGTTTCCTTCGTGCCAAGGCTTGAGCCCCGGCCATGTGGGCAATGGCAGCCAGGCGTGACCCCATTCTCTTGACCCAGAGCAATGGGGTGATTACATGGTTCATATGGCTGCTCAAAAACGTGGTGCCCGTTTTGGGGCCGCTTGGAGGGACACAAAGACCACAATTTGCGTAAACCCGAGCTCCTTAAAATTTTGAGCCGGACCGTGAGGAGTCTCATCATCTAAATTGGTGTCAACTAATCTGAAACGTTGCCTTGCCGTGAAACATACAAAAGGTTAGGCCTTTCGCTTGGGAATAGCAACCCAGCCGAGAGTTTGGAGAACTTGGATGTCCGCTTTGGACCCTGCCCACTAACAGTGGATGATGAACATTGAGATCAAGCGAGCTCCCAAAAGTGACGTCCGCAAGTGATGGGTTTCATTCTCATTTGAAACCGACCAAATGTGCATGTTGCTGGGCTGGGTAGCTGCACTGTTACAGACGTGAAGCCATCATGAGGTTTCAAAGTGAGATTTCCTGCAGGCGGTGACTCGCTGCAGGGACCTTTGCCTGTCGCTTCTGGCGTGTCAGGCCGACACCGATGTGTGCTGCGACTTTGCAGGGTCCAACTAGTATTGACCCCAGATGAATCAACCTGGTGAAGTAGTAGAGGGGGTGTTTCCGCCAGAAGTGATTGATTCTCTAAAACAGGCGCACCCCGTTCATCATCCAGGGGTTATAAATCCCAGGTTCCCATGAATTCCGTGTTTCCCAAAGCTTTCCCAAAGCTTTCCCAAACTGAATGCCTGGATGAAATGTTCAACAGACCGCCCCTCATTTGCAGGGCTTCTTGTCCCTGAATGAGGGCGAGCTTGCCCAAAGCTTGTCATTCCCTGCAGGCTTGGCAGTACTCTTCGACTTTTGGCTGCTACATTGACAACCCGTTTGTTGCTCCCATGCCCTACCCTCCTGTCAGCCAGAAGGACTGCGTTTGGCTTACACGATGTTCAAGCCAATTCAGGGCTTCTTGTGCTGCGGCCGGGGGATCTTGAGATGCTGCATTGCAGGCGCATTAGACTTCCAATCTACTACACACTTGTTTTTGTTTCGCCTTTTTGGTTTTAAGACTAATCTATCCCTACTGTGGAGGTAGATGTGTTTGTTTTTTTCTCGAAGGAGACCGACTTTGCCAAGACGGCCATTGCAGGGCAGTACGTTCAGCGGCTCTGCCCAGAATTTGTCAGCCGAGCCAGGGGTGATTCGCATGACCCAGACGTGGTTCAACAGAGAAATTTGCCCCCTGTCGTGGCTGAGATTGCAGAGGTTTCAGCGCCCGTGCTGGTGGCAAAGCCCGGTACAGTGGCCCAAGCAGAAGAGGTTGCAACGGCCAAACCAACGCAGCTCACAACACCCGCGGCAGATGTTCTACCAGCGACATTGACGGTGGCTCCGCTTCTGCCAGCAGGCGTGGCAGTAGGCACGGCATCAAGCGCAGCCGCCGCCACAGGCACGGCAGCAAGCACGCCAGCAGCAGGCATGCCAGCAGGCTCGGTAGCAGGCACGGCAGCAAGTGTGCCAGCAGGCATGGCAGCGGGCACGGCAGCAAGCACGCCAGGAGGCATGCCAGCAAGCACGCCAGCAGGCATGCCAGCAGGCTCGGCAGCAAGCACGCCAGCAGGCATGCCAGCAGGCGCAGCAAGCACGCCAGCAGGCACGGCAGCAGGCTCGGCAGCAGGCATGCCAGCAGGCTCGGCAGCAAGCACGCCAGCAGGCACGGCAGCAGGCGCAGCAAGCACGCCAGCAGGCACGGCAGCAGGCTCGGCAGCAGGCATGCCAGCAGGCTCGGCAGCAAGCACGCCAGCAGGCACGGCAGCAGGCGCAGCAAGCACGCCAGCAGGCACGGCAGCAGGCTCGGCAGCAGGCATGCCAGCAGGCTCGGCAGCAAGCACGCCAGCAGGCACGGCAGCAGGCAGCGGCAGCAGGCACGGCACCAGGCACGGTAGCAGGCACAACAGCAAGCATGCCAGCAAGCACGCCAGCAGGCACAGCAGCAGGCTCGGCAGCAGGCACGTCAGCAGTCATGGCACCATCTGTAGTTGTGGTTGAGAAGGGGGCCACGACTGAATTGCCAAGAGTGAATCCAACCCTTGTCCCGAGCCCAACAATCGCACCAACTGCCGGAGCAGCTCCAGCAGCTGCAGTTAATCAGGGAGCGGCCGCCACGCCAACAAGCGCCATCCCAGAGAGCGCTTCCGCCGCAATCACTCCCCTGCCAGCACTTCCCGCAGTGCCATTGGCACTCCCCACAGCTTCGCCAACTGGGCCGGCCAATGCTCTTCCCAGCAACCCAAACGCACCGGCCACCCCAGCCACTGGATTTCCGACGTCGCTGCCGGGGGCGATGCCTGCCACGCTGCCTCTGCCAACAGTCTCCCCACTTCCCGCCGCACCGCTTCCGGGTGCCGGGCTCCCGACGGCGATCCGAACGCCTGGGATTGACGTCTCCTCCTCCAGAGATGTTCAGTTCAGGGCCCGGCACAACGATGAGACCGTAGCCCTTGACCAAGCTGCAGATGCTGAGAATCCGAAGCTTGCAAGCGATTGGTCAAGCGATTTGCCTTCGATTTGCTTGGGCCTGGGTGGTCTCGTGCTGACATGCGTTGGGGCGCATTTTCTCCGCGTTCGCCGTGGCAGAGGGGCCAGTGGAGGCCGGGTGTGTGGCGACGTGTCAGAATCGGATGAAGCCGAAGCAAGCTTCATTGTCAAATAAGTTGTCTTGCAGTGTCTTGGACGGCAACGCGACAGGAAGTCGCTTGTGCCTAAAGTGGGTCGCGCGCACCCTTTTTGTGGCCATTCAAAGTCAATGGACACGGAGCCTTCTGAGACTATTGCGATCGCGATTTGGGCCGAAGGCCCAGGTTGCCATACATTGAATCATGTTGGGCTCCAAGAATCCGTTTGTTATATTTCAGGAGAACGCGCTGGGCATGGCAACTTGCCTTCGCGCAGTGGGGAGGCTTCAGGAGCTCTTGGCGAAAAGCGTGCCGGAGTCGGCGAGGCTAAATCGGCTGCCCGGGTCTTCCATGCCACTTAGCACCCCGGCGCTTGGATTGGATGTGCCGAAAAAGCTCTCAGAACCCTCAAGCAAGCTAAGAGGTCGCCGCAACGCCTCGCCATGATGACGGTCGAAATGTCCGGTTGCAAAGGACGATCTCCACCCACCCAAGGAAAAAAAAAAAAACAAGAAGGAAAAGAAAAAGACACAAACAGAGACAAGGAACTCGGCCGGCCGTTCACCCAAAGCAGCATGTTTTTCAGCTGGAGTCACCCAACGTTTTCCATGGAACTCTGGTAGTTTCCCCGCTCGGAACCATCGGCCAGGTCCTTCCAACGTGCCCTGCACCTGGAGGTCACGCAGCTTTGGGCTCGGACCTCGTGACCTGGTCGGCCCGTTGGGCGGGGTCTGACGGGACAAAAGCCACGAGACCAACCAAAGCTCCAAGTCACATCAAGTCACTCCCTGAGATCCTGGACTTGAGTCACTGTTCGGTTGGACCCTTTTTGGGCCAACCGACTTTTTTCAGGAAGGGAGCCAGCGTGAGCTAAACAGCTTGATCGATTGACAGGGACATGGACTCTGGGGTATTGGACTCCAGTGCCGGAAGCATCGGAGAGGTTGAGCCGTGGCCAAGGCGTCGCAATGCGGGCAAACCAATTCGTGATCCTGATTCGGCTTGCTGGTTATTTGAGGGCTGCAATTATTGCAATATTGTCAAGATGGGGGTTTAATTCCAAAGAAGGGTCCCGGCCGTTGTAGGTAGTCCTATTTGACCTGAGGTTTTTGTTTTTTTTTGCAGAAAAGCCTGAGACATTGGCAGCCATGGTGCGACGAACACTCTCGGGATTTTCCGGGCGTGTGAAATCGCTGCCAAGGATGCTGGCGCTTACACGAATGCGAGCAAAGGAAGTCCAGCTGCCCCCGGCCGGGGTGAGAGGGAGAGAGGCAGAGGCTGAAGCGAGATGAGGATGGTTGCTAGAAGAGGTTTCTCATAGGACGTAGGTTTTTCATAGGCTTTTTCATTGGTTTTTGCACAGGCATCTTTCTCAGAAGGTTTCTCATAGGTTTGTCATAAGTATAATCGTCAAGAACATATGGATATGGCTCAAAATTAAAGAGCTGTCTTGGGACCACTTATTTCAGCCGCGGCCATATTGTCATAGGTGTCCCATAGGTTTCCAATAGGTTCCCCACATTCGTCTAACTCCGGGATGGCGACAACACGCGGCAGGCAGCGCGGAGATCCAGTTTGACGTTCGGGATGACAAGGCCTGGCGTCCTTTTGGGTTGGTTTACCTGGGAACCAGAGGAAAACGACCCGAGCTTAGGGGAGTAACGTTGACCCTGGATTAATGAGCCCCTGTTTATCAATATGGGGGTGTTTCTGGTTTTAGTGGGGATTTATGACTTTTGGAGGGGAAACCGCCCCCCTATTTTATAAACATGGGTTTAGTTTGCCTTTGGCTGGGCACCAACAGGTTGTGGGTTTCTTACTTCTATTGTTTTTTGAGAGGCGCCCGTGTCCCAGCACTGTGCCACGACCATGTGTTTGCCTGGCTCCCCGCGGCACATGAATTTGAAATCCAGAGGGGGAAGCAGACACTAGGCGGTTTTTTCATCTCCGTCCTGAAATCCGACAACTTGTGTTCAAGAGACTCCGGCTTGGGGAAGCAAACAGGGAGCCGGCGCACTTCAAGTTCACGTCTGGGCGCAGGTCATTTGCCTCAGCAGCACTGTGCTGGAAACCCTCGGCAAGAAGGCTCAAGCCTTGAAGGCCCTGGCGTGACGGAGAAGCGAGAGGCAAACCACGGCAGTCATAGGTGTCCTTTTTGGTTGCTATGCTCAAAAAATGGAGGCCGATTCCTGGTTTAGATAGGGGTTTATGCCCCATTTACTAGGGCCATCTATTTTTCCAAAAGGCCACCTATGACAGCAGTTTTGCTTTACTTGCTGGGTCTCAGCAGGGAATGAGAATAAGGTGGAATAACTTTTAGGCCATCCCCGCTGGTTTCCTTCTAAGGGAATTTCTAGGTTGAGTCCAAACCCTGCGTCACTCCCTGCTGAGCACCAGCAAGATGAAGCAAAAGCGCGGTGGTGCGTTTGCATTTCCTGGCGGAGAACGGGCTGCTTTGAGCGTTTGTCTCTCGAATGTTGGTCGCCGTCCAGGTGCTGGATGACCAGCTGGCAGATTTCGGCTGGGGCATCAAGAAGTTGCTCGAGGCCCGTCAACATCCTGCCGCAATGCTACTTGCGGCAAGCTTTGTTGACTTGTCTTCCACCTGCCGCACTTCCCGGCAGTTTGGCATGGCATGGCGCTACAAGCGCAAATCCTATGGTTGTCAAGCGCACCCCAATGCCCCACCCCCCCAATTCCAATGGGGGCCAACAGCCACTAATAAGGCCTTGTGGGGCTAGTGGGGTTCTGTGTGAATATTTTTTTTTTTTTTTTTTTTTTTCCGGTCGATCCCCTTCGGGTGCCCCCAGCTACCATGGGAGCTACTTCAGCGCAGCTCGCTGAAATTCATCGCTCGCCGCTCGGCCGGAGGACCAACTTTGCGTCACACTCACGAAGCGAACGCCGGGCATGCTCTCGCGCGCCGGGCTTGTTTGAAGTCCGCGGCCAAGTGCACGCGGGTAGACTCCTTTAATACAAACAGTTGATTGTGATTCCGACTGGTGCCAAGAGTTTCGAAGCACAACACGCTTGCATTTGTTTGACCTTCGGGACTCAAACGGCAATGTTATGCCTGGATTCCTGAACATCAAATGATTTGAGTGCGTGCGTGGGTGTGTTTGTGTATGGCTTTTGCGTGGCAGCGTTCACACCGTGAATCACAATCTCATGCAGGAAGTCGGAAGTTGTGCACATTTCATCTTGCCGGTGTTCAGCAGGGAATTCGAATTGGAATGAGCATTGAAATGACCCCTGGAAACCATCCAACTGGTTTCCTTTAAGGGGACCAGGTTCATTCCCTCATTCCCTACCCCGCCACCAAGTCCTTTCATATGGCGAGAGGGCTGTACGATGCAGGTGCTACGACGGCAAGTTGGTGCCTGATGCGCAGTATGGTTTCCACGTCGACAACCCCTATATGTAGCTCAGCTTGTGTACGTCCCAGTCGTGTCGCTCTGGTTCCGTAACAAAAAATGCCAGGGCCAAACTGCAAAGCGCCGGCTTGAAACAGACAAAATCAAACATTCAGGACTTCGTGTTGGCTGGCTCACTTTATGGAGGCGGCTTGCGCCAATTAGCTTGCAAGAGAGCTCTGAATCTCAGCCAGACACAGGAACAGGGAAGCAAACAATGACCTTCACACTGCCAAAAGAAACGCGGCATGTATGAGTTTCATGGACCCTTGCCAGCCACTTGCATGGCCAAGGACAAACATGAAAACGGCAGATGATGGCAGGACAGTCGCCTGGTATGCCCAGTCCCTCTGTTGCTGGCACGCACAAATGGGCAGAGAACTGGCTTACTGGCGCAAAAAGGGTTCCCATTCCCACTGCTGGTTCTTAGAGCCTTCATAGCCTTCTTCGGGCTTAGGGTGCCAAGTCTGTTCTCCTGGCTTGTGAAGCCTGGGTCACCCATAGGAGGCTGACACTGATCTACTACATCTCCGACGGCCCTTGGGATGTGAAGAAGGCCATGGCGCAAGCGTCGTGCCAGGCAGTCTTTCTTGTTGTTGCTCTTGGCTCTTGGCTTGGATATGCAAAGCCTCTCACTTTTGACATGTCGATTTTTCCACCAGCAAACAAACAGATGAACTTATTGTCTGAGCAGGCTGACTGGCTTCGCTTGAGTTCTGATTCATCGTTCTGCTGCATGCGCAACGGGAGCTTGGGCTCAGGAGCATTGACACTTGTTTTGTACAGTTTCCGTAGCTTGGCTGCTTCGCGTTCTTAGGCTACGCGTGCTGTTTGGTTTGCTTGCTACTTCAACCGCTCATGTGCCCCAAATACTTCTGATGGGCCAAACCCAATTCCGTGACAGGATGGCGGCGCATTGCAGGTGCGACCTGGGGGGAAGCGTTCACCGGGGCATGCTCAAGGCCTTCCCGAACCTCTTGGCAAAGTCCTACAGAATCTGACGACGTGAGGTTGAGCCAGCACCTAGTTTGAACATGCTTAGACCGTTGTTCAAACAACATCCTTTTTTCAAAGGCGAGCCTCTGGGCTGTGTAGCCAACCCCGGCCGATGTCAATTGCTCCAACTTCTGGTGGCCTCAGAACAAGCCAAGAAACCCACCGCGCGCCAAAACACAAGTTGGAACAAGTTGATGGCCTGTGGATCCCACCGCCGGTACAGCTGAAAGGCAGCGAAAAGGGTTGAATTCAGAAAGGGCCCGGCTTGGCGGAAGTGCAAACGGTGCCGAGGAAAGGTCAAAAGCCAGTAACCCTCTTAACAATGGGATTGGGGTAGGGGGGTAACAATTCCATTGATGGTTCCATTTTCCCTTTCGAAGACTCGAGAAATGGAGTTGGGTCCCGGACCCCAAACCCCCTCCCCTTGAGGTAGGGGGGACTCCGGATCCTGCCAGCCGGCCCAGCCTGCCACGGCTAGGGCGTTACGCGGCACCCATTTCCCAAAAGGAGTTTCCTCACAAAAGTCAGGATTTCATGTCGTTGGGCGGTGGGGGGTTGAACCAGGAAGACATTGGTACGTGTCAAATAGGCTTCCTGGGGTCTCCATTCAAACAAAAATAAAATAACCCTCCAACCATGCAGACAAGCCAATCGATCGCCCCAGGTGTGCCTCTCCGATCCAAGCACTGCACCGTCCTCGACTGCAGAGGCGGGACGAAAAAAGACAAACATGCGGGGGCAAACAGGGGTGGTGTTAGATGATGTCCCACTAATGTGCAGGGACGAAATCCATTTCGCACCACTTTGAAACCAGGGGAAGCCATAGTTGGCATTTACAGAGCAATCATCCTTCCAGCATATCTCAGGTGGTGCGAAATGCATTTCGTCCATCCACAGTATTTGGGCACATGCGCAAATGTAGTTTAGACAGCCAGGTTGGTTCGATCCCCCTTCACTGGGGTCTCCTCCAAAGTTGTTTCTTTGAGGGTAGACTCCCGGGCCCAGCATACTGATCAAACGGCAGGTCTTGTTTGTGACAAGCTTAGCTCTCCATGATGTACAAGTAGGTTTTTTCCCCCCAGGAATACGCGTCTGATTTCATGTGTTGAAGAGATATCGTACAAAGATGCAATTGGAAGGGACGTGGTGGCAACGCGTTGCACTAGCAATCTTGCTGCAATATTGCTCTGGGTGATGTGCGTGTGCGCCATCTACGCCACATTGACATCACCTCTTTGCCATTGTGCGGCGGGATTCTGCCAGGACATATGGGAGCACTTTATCCTGCTGCTTCGGGCTGCTAAGCAATCCCCACCCCCTTGAAATTTGGGAAGGGGGTAACCCGGGGATTCCATTTATGGTTTCCTTTGGGGAAGACTAGCTAAATGGAATTGGGGCTCCCCACCAACCTCCCCCTATGGTAGGGAGACGCTTAGCACTTGCGTGGGCTCCAGTATGTTTCTGCTATACAGGCTGCGGTTTTCGTAAGCTTTCTAGGCTTCTCGCAGAAACTGCGGAGCAATCCTTTTCCGCACTGTGTCACTCTTAATCCATGGATGGATGGGTCCCCCCCTCACATACTGCCTGAAGAGGCCTGGTAATGTTGACCCCATATGAATGAACCCCAGTTTATTGATAGGGGGTGTTCCGACCCCTCCAAAAGTCATGATTCCCCACTACACCTGGGATCCCCCCCCTAGTAACAAGCTGGGTTCGATGAATATGGGGTCAACATTATGGCTTTGCCCCTCGAGGCAAATGAGAAAATTCTCAGTGAGCTGCGGTCCAGCTTGCGCCAGATCTGGGCAGGGTGTTTTGTGTAGCTGGCCCTTAGGATCTTTCTCGGGGATCTGAAGGTGCACCCCTCGTCCTTTGCCAGATAGTTCAAAGGCTGAGTGCAAAAGTCCATTATATGGACACTTTGGGGGCTGATTTCCCATGAATAAGCCACAACCAAAGGTTAGTTCCCTCACAAACTACATAGGAGTCCAAACCTGGGAGGTAATATGGACTTTCTGGATTCAGCATTTTAATAATGGGTTTTCTTGTGGTGCCCCACGGGTTACTTGGGATTCCTTTGAACAATCCAGCAAGAAATCGACTCATCAGGCGCTGACCCACGATCGCTTTACCGTGGCCCCGGAGTTTGACACATTGGCGCGCCTGGGGGGGTGGGGGGGCAATGCAAAGGTATGTGGCTGTGGGTCAAAACCAATGGAACCATTTTAGGGTAGGTGCACCACCCATTTCAGTCTATTTTAGTGGGGATTGGGATGTTAGCTGGGGGTATGGCCATGTCTCAAACTTCGTCCTAAGGCACGCCTCCAAATGGCTGGTTCCTTTTCGCTGTCCTTCATGCCCACCCAGGGTACCCAAAACAAGACATGTTCCAGACTGCGAGAAGAGAACTGCCGCTTTCTGCATGGGGCCATAGATCTTCTTTCTCGCCAACCGCTTTTTAACTGGGATTGGTTCGAGCCACCTTGACGTGCCATGCCCAGCCTTGAACGGGAACGTGTGTCGCGTACAGTTGCATGTGCGTTTCTATGGGGCTCAGTTGTTCAGTGGCACCCTTTTTCCTGTTTTTTTGTGGCTGCCCCACTAAAAATGGCCTTCCCCAAAAAGGGTTCCCTTTCTTCCAGGGTCACTGAACAACTGAGGGGGTGATCCTGTCCGCGCATGTTACATTTTGTCCCGTTGGGTTGGATTTGCTCAGTGACGCCGCGAGGTGGCGTTTTGGTCCCACACGATGAGTCTTGGCTGCGCCTGAGGGCTTGTTTGCTTTGGAATTGGTGCCGTTTTTGGCTGTTTGACGTTTTAGAAGCAAACGGAAACCAAATCCATTTTGGGTCTCCTTAGAAAACATTTCCGGTTTCTGATGAAGTGGATCCACCACAGATCAAAGAGGAGAGACCCCCGTCGATGGATCATCTGCTTGCTCACTTGACCTGCCTGGCAATGAGATCGGGCCGCCACCGCAAACGGCTGTAGGAAGTCATGCTCTTTAGAACCACTTGCTGGTGTACAAAGGTAATGTATGTACAATCACGTGTAATATCTGTTCGAAGGAAATCCTTAGTCCTTTGCAGTGGCTTCCCTATACAAACTATTGAAAATCGGGTTGGCCAACCCTCCATTTTGAACTGCCCAGAATTTACAACACCACGTACAAAATCGCGTAACATTACCACACAGCACACATTTCAGCGATCTACACATTTTGGCTAGGGGTTGCTTCCTCTTCCATTCTTTTCAAAAACCAACCCTTTTTCCGGCAGGTTTCCGGAGGTTTTCTAGAAAGATTCGGATCCCTGGGTTCAGAATGGAAATGGAAGAACCCCTAGAATTTTGGCATTTTGGCTGAGGTTCCATGCGGTGCTGCCAGTGACGGGCACCAGGCCACGATTTGCCCTGTCCACATGGTTCATGGGCTATTAGCTCTTTGGGTTTGGCGAGGTTTGCCAATGTCCTGAGTCCAAATGGCCATGGGTCACAACGTATGCCTCAGTTTTGGGCGGATGAACACCCATGTACCACCTTTTTTGATGTTCACCAGGGGTACAGAGTTTTGACCCACAGCCAAATGGCTTTTAGCTTTGGGATTGGCTTTAGCAGATTTTATGTCCGGCCCTAGTTCCAGTGGCCTAAGATCCTGCCTGCGTCAACTGAAAGTTACGTCGGAAAAGGCACGCGTCCGGCAGAGCTGCGTGAGGATAGGATTGGCACCTGCGTGAGGATTGGATTCGATTGGACGAAAGGCATTGCGTGTCTTGCCTCAAGCCACATAGAGCCAATGCAGCAAGACGAGCCCGGAGAGCACACTCCTCTAAGCCTCTAGAGCCGAGGCCCGACGCCCAAATGTTCAGAACGCAGCCGACACCCTGCAACTTGATGGATGGATTTGTCACAGATCAGCTGAGTCAGTAGGCCACAGGTCCGTTCATTTGAGAAGGGCTGTAGATCCAATTTGGTTGTTTGACCACGCGGGGTGCCCAAGGCGAAGAATAACTCAAGAGGCCGAGGCCCTGTAGCGCCAACCTGCTGAACCACGCCTTGGAACAGACGCCATGGCTGAAGCGCTGCACTCAGCTTGTGGAGAGGGCTTGGCCTTCCTTTTGCCCCGCGGCACTCAGCATGTGATTTGAGCTATGCGAGCCCCGTGCGGCCATGCGGCTCCAGGAAGGCATTTTTTCCTTGGCTAGGGTCTTTCTTAGTCATAAATCTTATGTGGTTGCCTGGTTGCTTTGCATTGGGCTTGCCGTTTCTGGCAAGTGGCAGCGAAGGGAGAAGAACTGCATGGCACGTGAAAATCGGAAGGCTGTGCAGGCAAGACAGGCAGCCAGGGATGATCAGGCTTTTCCCTTCCAACTGGCACATGCAAATTACTACAATTTGAGGAAGTGGGGCATTCAAAGTTCGCCTGTGGATCTTAAGGACTTGAATTTTTGGCTTGGTTCTCTGGCCTTCTCTTTTCAAACCCTTGAGAGGCGGACAGTGATGCATCCCCACCCCCTTAAAATGGAACTGGGTAAGGGGGTGACCTCTGGAATTCCATTTGTGGTTTGATTTTTCCCTTTTCATAACTAGGTACATGAAATTGGGGGACCCCCACTCCCGTCCTTTTTTACGGCAGGGAGGATGCTGATGCTGCTTGGGACTTGAGCGGCGTGAGGTCTTGCCCAAGCTGGGTCGTGACATTGCCCTGGAGGTGAAGATCCTGAAGTACGAGATGGTGCCCTGCTCGGGTCTGTCGCAGGGTTTGTTAGCCTTTTGTGGCACAAAAAGGCGAAAAGGATTGGTTTTTCAACTTGGGATCTTCAGGCTTGGACTTTTCGGGATATGAGGATTTTGCTCACGAATCGGCAACGAGCCAAGCATAATCGGGCCTGCTGCACCGGGGGTCACAGGGGGGTTGAGCCATCCAGAACCGAAGGCTGACCTGTGGCGGCGTGCCAACTGCCCACCTCCGTGGAAGCATGTAGGCAGTGGCATAGGCATTCTGCGCCGTGTGCTGCGCGCACATCCAATCAAACACATGAAAAGCGCATGGCAACGGGCCAAGCATAGACAAGCACTTGAAGGGGCAGGGTAGTTGGCAACCTTGGTTAGAACCTGCATGGTCGCAATGCCCTCAATTGGGTCATATAAACCCTGTGGATGGACGAAATCCTGCACCACCTAAGAAACCCTGGAAGGATGATTCCCCTGCAAATACCAACAAACAATGGTTTGCACGTGGTGCAGGATTTTGTCCATCCACAGAATAAACCTGGTTGCAATTCCAATCTACGTGGACGTAGCCTTCCCCTTGCAGCAACCCAGTGGCACTCTCAGGTGGACAACGCTCCAGATGCTTCAGGTCTTGCCAAGGGATTGGAAGCTCTCAAGGCCAGGTTCGGGCTTCAGGCAGCTTTGGTCTAGAAAATGGGTTTGGGGAGGGAGGTGGGGGGTGCCCAAACAAGCCCATGAAGTTTGGATGTGCGCTGTTGTTGGTGTGGATTTCAGCTGTTCTTTCTTCTGGTGATCCTTTTTACGTTTGATATTCTCTTAGTCTTATACAGAGGGTGGATCCAGAAAGCTACATCCAACCCGTTTTCTAGAGGTTCGGTCAGAATTCCTATGGTTCATTTGGGAGGGACGGGAACTCGCGAAATCTGCCGCAAAGATGTTTACGGGAGCTTCGCATGTCCCTTGGAACAGTGTGACCGTCGCGCTTTTCAGGGGTCACTTGATTTCTCCAAATCAAAGGTTCATCAATAAACTGGTGGTGTCCATTGAAACGATCGCTGCTTTTCGAGGTCAAGCAGGAAAATGGCTCGAAAGAGTCCGGTACTTTTCCCGCCAGGCACGCGTATCCTTAGCAAAGTCTGGGCAGCACGTGGAGTACCTCCTGCAGGCCGGTGATGAGTGGGACGCATCCACATACCTCACTGCCAAATCGGCCACCCACCAAAAAAAGGAGACACACCCATGTCATGGTGGGAGTCCTCCGCTACAGCGACGTAAGGTTTGTGGGTGTGTCTTTTTGTTGGTCCCAACATGGATGCGGCTCGCCCTCACGGCAAAACAGCCTCCCAAGTCTTCTTGCGACCTTGAACGGGCACTGCCCAACAGCCCCCGACGCTCCGCCAGATCCATTTCGCGCTGCGAGGTGGTTGTTGTCTTGGCTTCCCTTTCTTCCCACCAACGAGGGGGTACCCGCAAAAAAAATGCGAGCCACCCATGTGGTGGGCTTAGCACACACTCGGCACTGCGGGTTGGCTCCACTGTTTCCAAGCCTTGCCTGCACGCACTCATGCAGATAAGGGTCGCTTGACTGTAACCCCCGCGGGTCCACCTCCAAAATGGTTGTGGACATGAATCCCCTACCCAAATTTGATATCCACCAGAGGGTCCGCAATTAAAAATCGCTCCCAGGGTTGGATAGCTTGATTGCCCATGACTTTTGATAGAAAGTTAGCGGCTTGTTGGAAGCCTGCCCTGCCAGAGACCAGCCCGAAGTTTCCATCCAAATCCCTTGGATCATGTGACTCGCGTTTTCGAGTTGTTTGGTTCTCATAGTGGATGCCTGGAGAATCTCGCACGCCATGACGGGCACTCGTAAACTCCTGGGCCAGACCAGACCAAAAGGAACCTGTGAGGGTCATGTTCAGGATGCTATGTTCACCCCTGTCATTGAAAAAAAATGGCTCACCAGCTTGGCCATCAGTTTGTTGCCAGGTGCGCCGTGATGGCTCAACCTGGACGCTGCCATGCCCTAAGCCAACAGCAAGTTTCGCCCAAGTCTGGGAGCCGCTGGCAGTGCTCATCAGAGAGGCACCTCCTCACATTTTTTCCGCGTCCCAAACATGGTTGTTGTTGGGCAACATTTTGCGTTTTTGCTTATTGTGGTTTAGTGGGAAATCCCCACTTAACTCACTTAACTGCTAAAACACACATTGTTGCTCCCCTTCCAACGTCAACAAAGCAAACGGGGAACCCACCCCCGGTCCGCATCCATCCGAAGTTAGCATTCGGCTTTCCATCGGTTCTCTGACAATGTGTGGCCTGGAACTGCGCTTGAGCTGCCCCTGAGGGTTTTCTGCGGATGAGCTTGTTCCTTTGTGGTCCGATTGCTTGCTGCGTGTGGGTTCCGGATAGCACCGTGTTAACGATGACGGCACCATTCGGCAAAAAGACACATGTTGCCATTTTCCCGCGAAGGCCAGTCACCATTATAGAGTATAGTAGGCAACCAGGCAACCCCTCTCCGTTATCCTTTTGTTTAGCACCCCAAATCTCACTCCTGACATAGTCTCAACTGCCACTCAGGAAGTGAGAAGTGTGATTGGCTGTGTCTTTTTCGGAGGGCACCGATTTCGAGGTCCTTTTGAAGCGAAACCACGAGACAGACCCAATACCCCTGATGGAATATACAGCCACTGTATAGCCACCATACTAAGGTACCCCCAGATTCCGTGAGGGTAGCTTGCTTCAGTTTGGGGGCAGCAACCACCTCAGAGCATCCAAGCCGTTTTCCTGACTGGATATTCGGATGAAGCCCGATGAATACTAGCCCCATGATTTTACCATTATCAAAGTCACCCCCCTAAGTGATTGGTTGAAGGGATCCCGCCAGCAATGTTCTGACCCTGGAAGCTCAAAACAATGACCCCCCGTGAATACTGCTAGCAAAAGCCACCTCCACGAGTTGATGCCCCACTCTTCTCAACCATCGTTTTTTGGAACACCTGTTTCCCCTGGGTTTTGGTTATTTGGGTTTCCTGAAGACATGGTGGTTCCCAGCCATCCCCTTAGCTTTTTAGCCTTGTAGTCTTTAGTGGGGACTTCCATCTAACCCACTAAAAGACAAACACTTTTGGCGGGGGATCTGAAAACGGACAGCCCAGAAAAGATTTGCGGATCCCCGGAAGCTTCCCCTCCCGTGGCTGCGAACGTCAACCGAAGCCGTCGCTTCTCCCAGGCGCCGCCGCTTTCAGCAGGTGTCCTTAATGCATGAGAGCCTTCGCAGGCCGGTGGCTTGGCCGTTTTTCGGGCAACTGGGCTGTTTTGGCAGGTGCACCTCGGGTTTTTCGTTTTTCGGGCCGCTTTTTGTTGTTTTTTCTTTTGTTTGGAAGGCGCACCTTGGTTTCCCTTTTGGTTTCCTTCTTGGTGTCCCTTTTGGTTTCCTTTCAGAGTCAAGCATTTGTCGTGAAGGTGCGAGCAATTGCTTTTTTGACGGTTCCCATGGCGATGAAACCGGCCGTCCGCTTCCTTAGGTTTGTAGGTTTTTAGTTGGTGAGAGGTGGGGTTTCCATTTAACTCGCTGAAAGTCAAACTTTTAGCAGGGAATCTGAGGACGGTCAGGTTGGTCAAAAGGGAAACCAAATCCCTCCTATGTCAACCAGTTTGCTGCAAAATGGCTCCCCTCACGGCAGGCACGTCGCTTCCTTGCCAGAGCTGCCAGCCAAATCAGCCTGTGGCCCAATGCGCAGCAAGAGCAGCACTTACACCCTTTGGGAAGACGATGATGGTAGTGGCTCTGTTGCCCAGTAGGTTCCGCCCTTTCTTTTGGCAAGGGTTCCCCTTTAAAGTCAACCAACCAAAGAGGATGCCTTTTTTTCCCCCATAGCCACTGGGCATCTGAGGTGGCAATAAACACTTTGCACTTTTTTGCCAACCGACTCAGAAACATTGCGAAACTGTAAGCAGGGCTTTGCTCCTGAGTTTGTCCCCCGGCTGGTCATTCCGTGCCACTACGTTTGCTTATTTCACTTTTACTGGGCATCTGTCCGCAAATCAAGCGGCCCATCTCTTGCTGCAAGTGGTTTGTCATTGCGTTTTGAGCTGCAGACTGCTATCACTACGGACGAAATCCCGCACCACCAAAGAAAGATGATTTCCATGTAAAAACCAACAATCATGGTTTTCCATGGTTTCTTAGGTGGTGCAGGATTTCGTCCATCCACAGTATGAGTGCAAAATTGTGCAATCAGCTGCCGATGGTTTTTGATTTGACTTTCACCCAGGTTGTTCGCCAGTTCAGCCCGGAGCCCAGGTCACAAGTCAGGAAAGTCGATGCTAAACAGAGGCGGTTCCCTAAATGCATTCCTGCGCATGTCTTCGCCTTTTTTTTGTGCATCCGGGAGAGTTTGCTGGATGTTTTGGTGTCCCAGCTCCTTTTCCAAGAGACCCTTTCCGTAGTTGCCGTTTTCCACGGAGTTTTGCAATGCCTGCGAGTGCAAGTTGGCTAAAACTGGGGCATGCGACCGCTGGAAGCCACCCCAGGATGCAACGGCGCAGCTTCTCGGCTCGGTTAGGCTCCTGAGTCGCATCGTGTCGCCATGGCGTTCCGCCTGACCTATCGCCGGCAATGCCGATACAACACCAAGTCCAACAAGCAGCGTGTGGTTAAGACACCAGGCGCGAGCGTGCGAGTGAAAAATGAGTCGTCCGTGAATGAAGCCTTAATTCCCCCAGGAACACCTACATTAGACATGTCCAGGTCAACTTGTTGTGTGTGCAAGACAGGATGTCATGTCATGTCAGCATTTTTGCAAAGCACCCTGCTTGGTAGGTCATGGGCCCCATGAAATTCTCTCTTGCCCAAGGCGAATCGACTTTTTGACCTTTTAAACAGCGTTCGGTCCATTCGTGATGTCCCAAAAGGCGATCAGCTTTCATTTCTGGGTCCCATCCGGGGCATGTGCCCTCCAAGAGGTGCCTTCTGGTAAGGGAGGGTAAATCCCAACGCGGACACGTGTTGCCAATCGGCCTTTTGACCTTTTGGTTTCCCTCCGTTTGGCTCAGTTTTTGTCATTGTCCCGAAAGGCTACCCTCCCTCCCGCCAACATGGCACCTATGGGGAGGTACCTGGATGAATTTCCGCTTGAAGGGACCTGTCAACTGCCAAAGGGGAGGGAGGGTAACTCTTTTGTTTCTGGGTCCCTGGGGGGCAACTGAGGGAATTTAGACAGCTCTTGCCTGAAGCCGATGGAAGGGAGCCGGGGCCAAGACGCACTTTGGAGCCGTGAACGCCATGACTCATAGTATGGGGATGTCTTTTGTTCAAAAGGACCCCCCATGTTTGTGTTTTGTACTTTTTTATGTGTTATTTGTTTAGTTGTGTTTTCTTTCTTCTTTGTTTTCGGGGGGGGGAGGGGAAACTCTTGAAGAAACAAAGGGGCGGCGGGTTCCCCCATGTTGGGAGTTTTGCCCATGGCACACTTGGCTTGTTGCTTGCTTGTCAGGCGGACGGGCGGTATTCCAAACCCTCACGAAGACGGCAAAGGCCGGAGTCGGCGACATCTAATATTATTCCATTTGCTTTTGAACATTTTTCCCCCTGCTGGATTTGAAGGGAATCTATCACTACTGGAAATATGTGTTTTTCCGGTTGACTTAAGCAAATGGAAGTATTAGAGGTAAACTAGAGGGAGCCCCAAGCCTGCTACTTGACCTGTGTCAGAGGGATGCCCTGGAACATGCCCCAAGATCTTTTTGGGGGTATGCCAACACAAACACATGCAAGCCTGGCTGCCGGCCAAACAAGTGGCTGGGCATATTCAATTCCAGGGTTCATGCTAGATTTTCTTGCAAAAACTCATCCAGTTCCTAAAGGTGATGAATCGATCCGAAAAGGGGAATTCGGAAATGTAGGAACTCATATGTGCAACCCCCAAATCAGGGTGCTCTGAGAAAAAAACACAGAAAAGGGCACCCTGTTTCGGGTGTTCGGTTTTGGTGTGGGACATCAAGGGGACACGACACTTTTCTTCTTGTCTTTTTTTTTTTTGGAAAGGGGGGTGTTGTGGTCCGAGAGCCACGGAGCGAGACGGCGCTTCGAGCGCGGAGGCCCCGAAGTGCGGAGATTGCAAGAAGGCGCTGATCGGCCTCCCCTGCCTTCGGCCCATCGAGTACCGCCGCCTCAAGAAGCGCGAGCGCCGCGGAAAGAAAAAAGGGGCAGGGGCTGGGGGCGTGGGGGTGGGAATCACTCCAAAAAAGCGGTTTGTTGGGGGGAATCCATGCAGGGGCAATCCCTAAAAGTTGCCGTTTGTTTGGTTACCCTAAAAGAAGGATGAAGAAGGTGGTTGTACACAAAAATGACTCAAAATGACCATAGAGAGGAGGTTGACTTCAAGTTCGGGGTCACATTTCGCTTCCGTCAAGGCAGCTGTTAGATTAGTTCCTTGCGATGCAGGGGGAAACATAGGGAGCCCTTGGTAAAGGATGCGAGACACAATTTACCTTGTGTACCTGACTAAAGGACACCATTTTAGGGGGTTAGCGGCTGGAAGACACTGCTTGCTTTGTTCTTTGAAGCTGAGGAAGCGTGTGAATCGCGCTTATGGAGGACGGGTGGGAGCATGGAGCGCCCATTCCGCTTAGAACAGTGGCTGCAGCAAAGGCGAGCTGTGATATACCATGTGGGTTTGAGAAGCATGGACCCCTGACAATGTGTGAGCTTCCTGCAGGTTTGCCTTGAGCCACCCCCAAAAAACAAACGGGTTCCCCCAAAGCCAAAAAAAACAAAAGACAGCCATGTAAGACAGATTTCTCCGCCAAAAAAGGCAGCCAAAAAACTGGGCACATGAATCGAATCTATGTTTTTTCTTCCTGGAGCCGAAAAACCCAATGTATTACATATATACATATATATATATATATACACAAATTATATATAAATAAACAAAACACACACAAGCACACACACAGACGCACACACAGACACAGACACACACACACACAGACACACACAGACACACAGACACACACACACACAGACACACACACAGACACACACACACACAGACACACACACACACAGAGACACACACACAGACACACAGAGACACACACACAGAGACACACACAGAGACACACACAGACACACGCACACACACAGACACACACACAGACACACACACACACAGACACACACACAGACACACACACACACACACAGACACTCCCAGACACACACAGACACACACAGACACACACACACAGACACACACACACACAGACACACACACACACACAGACACACACGCAGACACACACAGACACACACAGACACACAGAGACACACAGAGACACACAGAGACACACAGAGACACACAGAGACACACAGAGACACACAGACACACAGACACACACACACAGAGACACACACACACACACACAGACACGCACACACACCCAGACACACACACACAGACACACACACACACACACATCCGCAGGATCTCGGTGCGCCAAGTGCGTGCGGCTCCGCATCGTGCGGGCCTTCTTGATCGAGGAGCAGAAGTGTGTGAAGCAGGTGCTGGCTGAGAAGCTCTCCCAGGCGCGTTGCTGGCGGAAACGCGAATTTTCCCGTGTCCTTTGTGGGAACCTACGCCATATTTTGCCTCCTCGCAGTTCCTCGTGTAACGCCCGGCGAATGCGTATGTAGCCTCTAGTCCCCTAGCCGCAAGGGGGGTGGGTGGGCAGATCTCCGCTTGAACTCGTTAATGGTGAGTTGGGATTGGCATGTGCCCACCCCAACGCAGGAGATTGTTTAGTGTTGCTGGCTCTTCCAGTTCAATTGCCAGTGTAGCTTGTCTTCATTCCAGGTGCCTTGCTTCTCGGGCCAACCGCTTAACGTTATATCGATTTGTTGATCCTAACTCGGTACAATGGTTTTGGCTGGGTTATTATATAAGTAAACATCTGGCTCACTGGGGCTTGGGCCTCTCAGGCATGACCGCAGAGATTTCGCCGAGCCGAAGGGAACATTGGCTCGGGCGTGGGGGGTTGCACTAACTATGAAAGGCAGTCAGTCATTCCGAGTTCCCGAAGAATCCATCAGGAACTCTGCGGGCCGAATCCATCTCGCTCCCTGCATTTGTCCTGAGGCGAAGGAGAAGGAGGGCGGCAAGAAGAAGAAGTAGATGCCAGTCATGGGCGAACGTAGCTTTCGGCTCGGAGTCAAAAAGCGGCGGCTCGCGGAGGCGACGGAGTGGTTGGGCCCACAGACAATCAGTTGGACAGGATCTATGGAAACGTCGCCTGCATTGCTGGGGTACTGCCATGAAGCACGCATCGTTCTCATGTTGGACCTGGTTGCTGAGCTCAGTTGCTTTGAGGGAGCTTTCAACCTGGCTGTCGGTTTTGTGATCCACTACCGTGCATGCACAAATTTGTTTCGCGCCAGTTGGGTGACTTCTCCCAATATTCGCATCGCGTTTTGTTTTTCCCAACTGGTGCTGACCGGATTGGATTTGGCAATGGGGGAGCTTCGTATCCCCTTAAAGATGGAATTGGAGAGGGGTTGCGGTGGCTCCTGGAATTCCATCTATGGCAGTTTCATTTTCCCTTCATGGGGAAGATGGGAGAAATGGATTCGGGTCCCGGACTCACCCCCACCCCCAAAACCCCCTTAAGGTAGGGCTGATAAATGGAATTGGGGGGTGGCTTCCACTCCTCCCCCCTTACATGGTTGTTGTTGGGAAACATTTTGCATTTTTGTTTTTTGTGGTTTAGTGGTTGAACCAAATCCGCTGAACTGCTAAACGCACACACACACACACCCAATTTTTGCTCTACCCAGAACCCCGCCCACCGTGAGGTTCAGACTACCTGGAGTCCAGGAAGAATGCGCTTGCCGCCTACCTGTGCTTTGCTCAGAATCACTTGTGGGTGTCTTGGTTTGAGGGAGGCATGTTTATGCACAGCGACCGCTGAAGGCGCACAACATCTCACAATGTAAGTCACGGGCCCGCTTCCGCATCCCTTGCCCGTGCACGCTGTCGGTCCCCAGAGTCAGCGGCTGAATGCGCACATTGGCTACCAATGAGCAGTGCCCGTTTTTAAGAAACCACACCCATGTGCCCTTCCTGTCCGCCTGCTTCAGTCCGGTGGTCCGAAATGACGGGAAGGGGATACAGTAGAACAAATCTGTGACATTGACCACGCACCACATGGGGATGATGTCTTTTTCTGGTGGACCCAGGAGATTGGTATTTCTCTTTTTGGTTTCCCTTTAAAACCAAAATTGGTGGTGATCCTTTTCATGTCCCTTTAACACCAGCCAAAACGCAGGTCACGGACACCAGGTCATAGGCATAAGGTCCTTGCCTCCCTTGCCTGAGGAATCAGCCGAGGCCTTGGTGCGTGACAGTCATCCTGCCCCACTGCGCGTTTGAGGCCTTATGAGCTTGTTTTGTTAATGATCCCTGACTAAACCCTCCTAGTAATTAATGGGTTGCAGTCTGCCTGAGCAGCAGGAACGGAATGCCCACAAAAGGGGGCCCGGGCTCCTTTAAAAAAAAACGAATGCTGCAGGGTTGATTGTGGCTCAAATGGGGGCAGAGGCAGCGTGACTTATTTGAATGTCATCGCTTTTGCGTCAAGGATGGGTTGCGCCGACGCTTCTTGTTTTGTACCAAGGCTGGCTGAACGCAGAGACGTTCTGAACGCTGCGGCAGCACAGGATTTTTTCGGTTTGTCCTCCCTGCATGTTTGCAATGGGGGGTTGGAGAGAAGCTGGCTCAGAGAGCCTGTGTGGGAAGGCAACTTCCGCCCATCAAAGTCCGTGCTTTCATTTGCGCGCTTAAATATATGCTGAGTTTGGGTCAGTATTCCGTCATGGCAGCACCTGTCACCGCACACATAAGACAAAAACAAGCCGTGTCAGGCTTGAAAGAGAACCCAGCCTGCAGATGTCCTGGCCTTAATTCGGGATCCAGCACAGGGCGCTCGATGAACAAAGTCAATCAGCATGAATTGGGTGTGGCTCAAATTGAACGAGCTGGGGTTACGCTGGTTTTTCGTCTTTCTATGTACCAAGGTGCCATTTTGGGATTCCATTTTTTGAGCGGCCGATTTTCTCCCTGGTTCCGTTGCTCGGCGCTCATCAAGTTGAAGGAAGATCAGCTTGAGGACAGCGGTTATGTCTTTCCAACCGTCAAGGGCAGCACCAAACAGTCCCATCATGCAGACGATCATCGTCAGAAGGAGTTGTGTCGGTGTCCATTTGTTTGTTTGATACTGTGTGAGTACTGGTTTGATACTTCCGTGTTACTCGTTCCAGAGGCTTTCCCAATCCGACTGGAGCTAGGGGCAGCGGGGAAACTCGTGTTTAGTACTTATAAGCAGTGGCCTGATTCTATTGAGTGTTGGAGTTTTGGAAAGCTACATGCAATCGCTATTGCTGACAGTCTTCTACGGGCAAGAGATTCCTGCATGGGAAAGGATTGTATAGCTTGCTTTCGCATGCTGCAAAGGGCAAGCATAAGCCAGAGGACAGCCCCTTTGGCGGGTTGCCACCTTCTGTGATGTACCATTAAGCCAAGCCAAAAAAGAGCGGCCAAGTAGGTATAGAATTGGGAAATCCACACTTTGGCATAAGGTTATTTTTCACACCCCTGTTTTTTGATATCATTCTAGGGACCCACCAAAAAGCCGGCAGGGTTATTTTTTTTACCCCTGTATTTGGATAACATTCCAGGGACCCCCCAAAAAGCAGGCAGGGTTATTTTTCACACCCCTGTTTTTGGATGACATTCTAGGGACCCCCAAACAGCAGGCAACCCATGTTTCGGCTTGCCATCTTGCGATATTCAGGATATGCCCAGCCTCTTCCAGCTGAGGAGGAGTAGGTGCGACCCCTTCTTGGCCGCAGAGGCTCGATGTTTTCGACAACGAAGCTCAACCCAGACCTCCGCGGACCTTTTTTTCTTCTTCTTTTTTTCACGGAGGGGCTTTCCCTCAAAAATAATCTGCCAGCAAATGCATGTTCACTTTTCCGTGGTTTATGCCTACATAGTAGGTTTATACTGCGCTACAAGTGTGTATTGGTGGCGTACCTGCAAATGTTTTTGACATGTGGGGCTCACAATATAGTGGAAAGGCAAATTTTGTGGGAGGTTTACATGGGCACCAAAAGGGAGAAACCCATTTCCAGGTTCCCTTGCGTTGAGGAACACCTCTATTTATCTATAGTTTTCTTTCTATCTATCGAGGATCAGGGGACCCCTTTTGATGAACAGGGTTCCATGCAGATTCCGACCGTCGGGCAAGCACCATGTTGCGCAGAGCGTCACCTTGGGTGGGCGTCTGATTTTGTTCCTGGCGACAGGTTCAGGAGGTCACGTTTGGCATCACTAGCTTTGTCGGCCCGGCTAAGTTGAATCGCTGCTGCTAGACTCCAGAGATGCGCTTGCTCGCTTCGGTTTGGTTTACTTGGACGATGTATGTTGGCACCATTTCTGGTGCTCGTCATGGTCAAGGCTGTTTGTAAAGAGCAGGCTGGCAGGCGGTTTCAATGAGCGAGGGAAAGTGGCCCCATGAATTGAACCACGCACGCAGCTTTCAGTTACTGAGCTGTGTGCACCTCCAAGGTCGAAGGCTAGAGGCATGAAATGGCAAGTGCACACGTTCACTACAACTTGCTTCACTTCACCGTATTGCAACCAGAGATGTCCTTTGAACAGATGGCGCTGGTTTTTATTGGCTGTATTATTCATTTCTATGATGTGATGACATGTTGCAGCGTCACGACGCTACTTCTTCCAGGTCACTGACCCCAGCCGCGGTGGCTCTCTCAGAGCAAGCCGTTGGCGGTTTGGCGGCTGGTGGTTTCGTGATCCCCTGGACGGACACCTTCTGCTCCGCACCAGTTGGGATGGGTGGTTTATGAGCCAGCATTCTCGAAAGCGTTGTGAAGGGCTCTTCCGTGTGGAGCCTTTGGGCCACCGTGCATGCCACCGTGCGTAAAGCAACTTGCGAACAGCAACTTGCTCAGAGCAACTTGCACAGAGCAGCTTGCAGAGCAACTCGAGCTTGAGAGCAGCTTGCACAGAGCAACTTGCACAGAGCAACTTGCACAGAGCAACTTGCACAGAGCAGCTTGCAGAGCAACTTGCGCGTTGCAACTTGCAGAGTGGGGATCATTCAGCACAGCCGCCCCCGGAAGTTGCACGCGCGCGCACGAAACGCATAACCCGCAGCCAAGTTGTCTGCAAAGTTTTCCCCGCAAGTTCTCTGCGCTAGGTTCTCTGCGCAAGTTTCTCTCTGCTGTGCAAGATGCTCTGTGCAAGTCGCTCTGTGCACACGGTGCCCCGCGGAAGCTGCTTTTGCGCACGTCGCTCTGCACACGTCGTTCTGCGCAAGTTGCTCAGCGCAAGTTGCTCTTTGCCAGCTGCCCAGAACAAGTTGTTCTGCCCGAGTTGCTTTGCGCAAGTTGCTCTGTGCAAGTCGCTCTGACCAAGTTGCCCTGTGCAAGCTTCTCTGCGCAAGTTCTATCTGCAAGTGTCTGCGCGCAGCTTGCTGAATGCCCTGCGTTTCTTTGGTACTCAACAAGCTGTGGGAGTGTCCGGCGCTATGCACTTTTGCGCTGAAAGCGGTGGCGATGTTCGAGCTCGAGCTGTGGGAGCGTACTTTGCGCAATACTTTCGTGAGGAAATGTTGCTACTTCAGCTTGTGAAGCCTGCCCGGCCCGCCGATCCCGAAAGCGCGCAACCACGAGACAACTTCCAAGGACTCGCCCGCAAGTTGCTGCGCATCGACCACGTCGTCGATCCTCGCAGAGGGTCGCACGCGGGCACGTTAAAAAGTAGCAAAAGCCCATCGGCCACGCCCATCTACGCAGAGGGTTGCAACCCCGTGCGACGATGAAACTCCTGCCCCGGCGCCCCGAGAAAGCAATTTGCTCCGAGGCGCTACGCGAGCTCTGTACCCAAGCCCCCTGACCCAGCCCAACTTTGAGCAACTTGCAGGAGCTCTATACCGAGCGCGCACGCACACATTGGAAAACAATGCTTTCGGGCTGATCATCCTTTCGTTTCCAGGTTTTTGTTTCGGAATTTTGTCCATAAAGCCAAACCGGAGCTGTCCCCGGAAATCGCCGCGTGCCGAACCAAACAAAACCAAGCACACTGCATGAGCCTGGATTCGGCATTTTCTTAGAGGATTCAATTTGGTGAGTCAAAAGTGGGAGTACTGTTCGCGCGTATGGCGGCATCAGGGCCCTAAAGAAACCTTCAAGTGAGTGCCACGGTTCCAAAGCAAAGAGGGTTTAATAGCTTATTTCCCGACCCGAGGCCTACTCCTGTTGGGTGTCCGGACCTGAGAGCCAATTGAGAGCAATCTGTCAGACCTTATTTTGGGGCCTGCGCCTGACTCAGTCAGTTTGGGAGGCTCTTTTTGGCGTGCAGACAGTAGACATGTTGTTTGGTCGGTACTTTAGTTGTCTTGATGGCTGCTGACCTTTTTTGTTCTGCATTGACGATCCTGTTTGTTGGTGGATGCCGTGTTTTACCGGTGGCCCCTTTCCCAAGAACAGTTCCTTGCTGAGAACCAGCAAGTTGACCTCTTGAATTATGAACTTGTGGTTTGGCTTGGTGGTTTGGGTGATTGAAGCCCTTGGAACTGAATGGGAAGGTAGACCCCTAAGCTCCAAACCAGAGGTCATTGCCACACTCAACGAAGCTTTTTCTTTGTCGCACTTTTGGTTTTCCATCGTTTTCCACCGGCAAAATGTCAACAACTCTTTTGGTTCAGATTCCTACCCACGGCAACGCGTTGCCGTAGAAAGTTTTGCTCCACGAGACTCTTGCCACACTCCAGCTCGTGGTGCACTTTGTGTGCTGCCTTTCCGTCGCTCCTGCTTGCATTGTCAGCCACCCGACCCTTTGTTTTGAAGACTGGGCCATCATGGAACCCTCCACTTGGATGCAATCCTGCGGTGCTTCCTTGTGCCTTCAGCTTTCTTGAGAATTTTCGAGAACGGCCCAGTCGGACCCCATGGCCAGGGACGGCTCTGGTTGGCTACGGCGGTGTCTCCATGATTTCACGGGGGCCACCGGCCTGTTTTGATTTGCACACAGGGTTCGCCCAAATTGTGATCTGCTTAGTTGAGGCTGGTGGTTTGCAGTTCCCGACTTCAAGTTTGTCAATGACAGATCAACTTGGCCTTTTCAATTTGGCTGTCGTCGTTTTATCTGCAATGCGCTGCTGTCACAAGCAGGCCAGGGTGCCCAGCAAAAACCCATCGCTTCCCCGAGTAGCCTTCTTTTCTCGTCCCAAATCAGGGGAAACTAAGTTTCGGCTGGGAGGCCTGCGATAGCCTTGAGGCCTCTGACTGCAACTGGGTCTCCAAGCTCGACACGAAGACTCTCGGCAGCACGTTGCGGCGATAAGATGACCAGGCCCTTAGTCGGTGGAGTTTAGATTGGGGATTGACCCCTGGTACACTTGGAAAGGGGGAAAGGTAAACCACTCCTTTTCAAAGGCCTGCCAACTCTCAACAAGGCGGGGGCCTGCTGAATTGTGCGTTTTTGGTGTGCTGTAAGATTTTTGTGCCCACCGGGAGCGGGCGACTGGGGTTCAATGGCAAACAAGAGCCATCTTGGAAAGTCGGAGTGCTCAGAAAGTACCCACTTTCTGCGTGGCAGCTAGCGGGCGACCGAGGATCACCAACATCAAGCTGCCGTGGGAGCCGTCTGCCAGAGGGCCCAGCGGGTCTTGGGGTGAGCTCGGTGTGTTTTGGGCAATTTAGGATAGTCCAACGCAGCCGCCCTATAGCCAAGCAAGCGCTTGAATCTGCAAATGTCGCATTTGACCAACTGAAAGAAAAGGTCCCTGAGTAAAGGATCCAATGCAGTGCCTGTGCCTCTAACTTTGGAGTTGGCCTTGATCCGCCTTCAGGCACCAGAGCTGCCCAGCTCGCAGATGACCTTGTGGAAAGAGCCTGGATGCCCAGGCTTGCGACCCAAGAGGAATTTTTAGGGCGACTCTGAACCGTGGAGTTCTCTCCCTCGGAACGTCCCATGTTCATTCGGCTTTTGTGGACATCTCATGACTCATGACCATGTTTTGGCTCAACCAGGGGTGAGCCATGCAGCGGATGGGAATTCTGGCTCTGTTCATTGGCCTTGCGTATTGCCCGCCATGAGCAGCGCTTCTCAGGGGCCACTTGACATCCCGAGGTTGGCACCGGGATCGCAGAGCTACCAGGTTCAGCGCCCTCCTCGGTCTGCAAGGCTGCGACAACCGGATATTTCGACATGTGCAAACGGAAACTCGAAAAGGACGACAGATGATTTAGAGTGGCTTGGGGCCATTTTCTGTGGATTTCTGAAACCAAGCCCTTTGAACTCAATGTGACGGCAGCCCATGTTCTTGGTGTTGAGAAGGCAAGTGCAGGCAGGTCAAACTTGCAAGGGATGTGCAGACCAGAGGGAAACCATAATTTGTCCTTGTTTAGTTGAAGTGGTCAGCGCCATTTTGGAGACTAGGGGATGCAAGACAGATTTTGCCACAGGGCGTGCGTTGCTATACAGCGGCCGGTTCCCAGTGCTTGAATTCGGAAGTCACAGTGCATACAGTACAATATGGAAATTCCGTCAGGAGTTGCATACGCGGTACATGTTGATTGGCATATGATTGGCGTCGGCGTTTTTTTTTTTTTTTTGGGGGGGGGGGGGGTACATCTTTCGAAAAGGAGCTACGAATCCTGAGGTTTTGCTGCCGCTTTGGCCCAGCGCTCTCGTCAGTGGCCGCTGTCTTATCTTATGTCTCCAATTTGAGCGGGGCCACATGACTGAGCTGGAAGCTGCCAGACGTCCAGACTCGAGTTTTGCTTTGCAATCTGGACCTTCCAGCTGTAGAAGGAGCAGCGGCCTCGCCACTGCCCATGGCACGATTTTTGGGGCGCGCTCGCGGTGTTTGGTGCTTCAGCCGGGGGTCAAATTCCTTTGCGGGACCGTCGCCGGTGAGGCTCTGGTCAAAGGCGACGGCGCTTGCGCCTTGTGCGGCCTCAGCGCCGCTTGTATCGAGGGCGACGGGGCGAGAGGGCGAGAGGGCGGTGAGCGGTTGGCGAGGCACTTGGTGAAGCGAGCTCACACGGGCTCACGTTTTGTTTGTTTTTTTTGGGGGGGGGGTTGGCATATATGAAGAAGAAGAGCACCACGATAATGTTCATGCTTTTGATGATGCAAATTATTACCCAACATTAGATGCTGATATTTATTACTATGCATTCGCATTATCGCCAGCAGTCATGATGATAACTGTTACTTTGCATGTTTTTGAATCACCAGCAGTTGTTACAAGAATTATGGCGACCCATGCCCTGCATCTCAAACAAGCTACTGCAGGATTAATTCGCATGATAATGAGCACTTTGTTGGATTTTACAAGAAGTGCACCCGGTGTGTGGAAACTTGGGCAGGAAAACAATGTTGGGGGCACTGTTTTTTGTTCGCAAGACTTCGATGTATTGCTGTGGATGCAAAGCGTGGACTTTGTGTCATCGCTTCGTCTTCGCGAGAAGTAAGCTGTTAGCACCCCGGATGCAATCAGATGGTGATGATGATGATGATGACCATGCACCCGGCATGACTGCGCATCCCAGGTGATGATGATGCTGATGATTGTGATCCTGATGATAATCATCACTACGCATCCCCAGCATCACCAGCAGTTATCATGACAATCATGACTACACACCCTCTGCATTTCCAATCGGGTCCTGCAAGTCGGGTCATGATGATGATGACATCCTGATGATTATCATGACAATCATCACTACGCATCCTCTTCATTTATAGTCGGGTCTAACGGCACACTTGAAATATATATGAAAAAGAAGATGGTTCAAACCATCACCCCACATCAGTGATGCTGATAATCATCACTATGCAGCCGCAGCATCGCCAGCAGTCATGAAATCCTCACTTCGGGTTATGATAATGATGATGGTGATAGTCCTGATGATCCTGAGGATCATCACTACGCATCCCCGGCATCACTTCAGTTGCCGTGACGACATCCTGATGATACTCATCACTATGCATCCCCAGCATGAGCAGCAGTTATCATAACAATCATGACTATGCATCACCTGCATTCCAAGTCTGGTCTAACGGCACTTGAAACACATATGAAACAGAAGGGCGATGATGATCTGCTGCGAACCATCACCCAACATCCGTGGTGATGATAATCATCACGAAGACAAGGACGAACACAAACGGCGCATTACGTCTAGCAATTTGCCCAGGCTGTATGATGAATGTAGGTTTGGAAAAGGTCGCAAGGTATGGCGCGCCTGCGGGGCTGTAAAGCGTGCTTATGGCAACAAGAGTGCATGCAGCAAGGCTGTGCATATCGCCAAGAGGTTTACCACAATGTGCGCACGCGGTCCACCTTCACACAAAGAAATCACGTGCATCCAAATCTCCCTATGTTCGGCTGCGTGCTGGCCATGGCATTTTTTTTGGCCGTCGGGATTGTAATGTGAGTTGCTTTATGCATACGAGTGAGTGCGTTTGTCGTTTGATCGGTCTGTTTGAATTTGCAAGGAAGCAGGTCCTGGGTGCTTTAGTCAGCACGATGTGTCACGGCGATCGTTACGTCGTAAGCATGGCTCTTCCGAATCTTTTGCGCCATGATCGTTTGCGTTTCCCCCAATGCTCAGTGATTAGCCGGGTTCCAAGTTGTCAGCGACGGGCGAATGTGTGATTTGGTTTTCTCCCGCGCGAGCCTTGCGCACGTTTTTGCATTTTAGCCTCTTACCCTCCCAAAAGCATAGCTGCACAGAGGTCCGCTGACGAACCTGGTCTGTCCCAGTGCCAAGTTCGCGCCGAGGACGGCTCCGTTGGTGTGCAAAAGCTTTCCGCGCCTGGCGGAGCCACTTGGTTGGTGCCGCACGCCCCACTTTCGTCTCCCATTGTTCTCGACAGGGAAACCACCAATCTTTCCAGAAGATAGGCCTAACCAGCCCCAAGGTTTTTTTGTTTTTTTAAAGTTGCCTTGCACAGAAAAGGAGCAACATGCGAATCACAATTGCAAATTCATTTGGGTTTGTCATTTTGCTTATTGGAACAGGTACCACTTTGGGTTGGAGCTAACTCGGGGGATCCCCTTTTGAGACAGATCCGCAAACAGGAGACACCCAAGCGATGTGCGGCTGGTCATGTTTCGGGGGTTTACCTGGTCACTCGAAACGGGGAACCTGATGGCTTGCACTAAACAATAATCATGTGTGTCTTCGGAACCCATTTGTGACCGAACCGCGGGTCAGCCAAATGGCCTGAGCATAGAGAGTAACCGAGTTGTTCGAACGTTTGTTGGTGGTTTACAGGAAAACCAAAAGGGCACCTGCCATTTTGAGTGTTCCCACAAAAACGACACACCCATGTACCTACCCCGAGGTCTCCAGAGGTGCGACCTTACCGCTGTTAAAGCACACGGCGGCGGCCAAGGACTCAACCGGCTCAGCTGAGTGCCGAAGTGCGGAAAAGTCTGCCACGGTTTCTCTGTGTTGAACCCCATGCAGTGTATAAATAGGGGGGGTGCTCCCGTCCAAAGGTTATGACTCCCCACTAAACCCAGGGACGCCCTATTCAGAAACTGGGGTTGGTATTGTATATATATATATACTTTGGTGCATGTTGCGTGGGCTTGGATGTTAGGACTTTAACTTTTTGCCAACTAATGGGTTTTCCATAAAACCACTAAGAGTTAAACTTTTAGGAGGTGAGCAGAAAGCAACCGAGTTCTGTCTGCCAAAGAACAGGGGTCATTATTGTGACTGTTTCCTTCCATTTGCTGAAATTGCTTAACATGTGTTTTTAGATTTTGCCTGTTAGTTTTCTACTGGAAATATGTTTTTTGTTGCCAGGGGTCTTAACCAAATGGAAGTTTCTGGGGGGTTATCAGAGTCAGAACATGGGGTTGTTTCCCTTTAACCCACATAGAGGATGACTTTGATCATGGTAAAATAATAAGGCCGGAAGAAGGAAGCACGGAACACGTGGACATTTGTGAGTTGGACATCATGATGGGCAAAATGCCTTGAGCTGCATGACTGCCAGTGGCACCCAGCATTAGGCAAATTGACCTAGCCTCACGGTTTTTTGCCAGAGACAAGGCGCTCCGACCAAGGGTTGCTGTCTCCTTTGCTACACCTTGGACAGAGCGCGTACCTTGCCCATTAGGTCTCAGCCTTGGCAGTGGACGAGAAGGAGCGGTGGCTCTTTTCGGCGAGCAAGGACAACGCGGTCAAGGCAGAGTATAGGCTTTAAACTTTTGGGAAGATGATTTTAGTCGGAAATATAAAGCTTTGTTGCCAATCCGCTCAGGAAGTGAGGGTTTGCAACAACGAAGGCTGAAAAGGGTGCTTGAATACCCTCGGAGCTGAGATTCACGTTTTTTTTGTTCTTCGTAAAAGCTGGCCTCGCAGCTTTGCTTGAGGTTTCTGTATGGAGGGTGGCAGGGGCAAGAAGGTCGACACGGAATGCCGGCTTGAGGCCTTTCTTTCCCCGAATGTGATCAGTGGCAGTTTCGAAGATGCTGTGTGAATGCGTCGTCGAGCAGAATTATCCAAAGTCCGCCTAAGATCATGTATAGCCAGTGAATCCGTTTCCCTTTTGTGGTAGCCAAGGGAACCACCCAAGAAGGGAAAAGGAGCATGGCTGGTTGCCACGGGGGATGGGATCGGGTAAGTTAAGGCAGTGCGACCCTTCCGCCGCGCAGGCAATGAATTCGGCATTTGGCCGACTTGGGCAATATCCTACCTTTTTTCATGGGTTTGAGGGTCCAGGTAAGCTTTTTGCCCAGGGTTAATTAAGCCATTGAATGCGCTGATGTGGCCCTTTAATTTGGGAGGCCTCAAGGAAGGGCAGTATTGCTTTTGCTGCGGGCCATTTTTGCGACGCAACATGACAAGGGTCCCTCCACTTTCAGACCTGCACAAGTGGGGATTCTGGGAAGGGGAAGTTTAGTGACATCCCAAAATCAAGCAGTCGGCCTGAGGTAGCAGAATGCGGTCCTTTTGGCTTTTTCAGGCTTCAGTCAGGCATACGTTTAAGTGACGGCACTTGGTTTCTGTGACATGTGGGTTTGTCTCAAAATAGGGGAACTACCAAAATTTGTCATTTCCGATTAGTTTACCTTTAAACCAGCCCAAAAAAGGGAAACCTCAAAACACACACCCATGTTCGTGATGTTCTCGCAATAGTTGATCTGGCTACTGGCCTGGCCAGCGACGGTTTGACCTTGAGATTTGGGCGTTTCTCAAAATGGTTTTCCCCTTGAAATGGCGTTAATAGGAACCTCCAACGAAGCAAGCAATTTTAGGGTCTTTGGCGAAACCTCGCATCTGATTCTTGGTATTTGGCCCGCTCGGACAGGTCTACGACCTGGTGAGGCGAGGGGCGGCGTTCCTGCGTGGTTTTGCTGGACAGACGCCAGTTTGCACAGGGGCAAGGGTGTCATCAGCATCAGGGGCAAAGGTATTGAGAGTCTCGGTGGTCAAGGGCTGCCAGTCTACGCATTGACCTGAGGCAGATGGTGCAATGCGAGACGCACGCGCCGACGCCAGTCACGACCATGCTATTTGACGAGGCCTTTGGCCACGTGTGTGTGTTTGTGTTTGTGTTTGTGTTTGTGTTTGTGTTTGTGTTTGTGTTTGTGTTTGTGTTTGTGTTTGTGTTTGTGTTTGTGTTTGTGTTTGTGTTTGTGTTTGTGTTTGTGTTTGTGTTTGTGTTTGTGTTTGTGTTTGTGTTTGTGTTTGTGTTTGTGTTTGTGTTTGTGTTTGTGTTTGTGTTTGTGTTTGTGTTTGTGTTTGTGTTTGTGTTTGTGTTTGTGTTTGTGTTTGTGTTTGTGTTTGTGTTTGTGTTTGTGTTTGTGTTTGTGTTTGTGTTTGTGTTTGTGTTTGTGTTTGTGTTTGTGTTTGTGTTTGTGTGTGTGTTGTGTTTTGTTTTGTGTTTGTGTTTGTGTTTGTTGTTTGTGTTTGTGTTTGTGTTTGTGTTTGTGTTTGTGTTGTGTGTGTTTGTGTTTGTGTTTGTGTTTGTGTTTGTGTTTGTGTTTGTGTTTGTGTTTGTGTTTGTGTTTGTGTTTGTGTTTGTGTTTGTGTTTGTGTTTGTGTTTGTGTTTGTGTTTGTGTTTGTTGTGTGTGTGTGTGTGTGTGTGTGTGTGTGTGTGTGTGTGTGTGTGTGTGTGTGTGTGTGTGTGTGTGTGTGTGTGTGTGTGTGTGTGTGTTTGTGTGTGTGTGTGTTTTTGTCTGTGTCTCTGTGTCTATTTGTCTCTAAGATTCTGTGTCTTAGCGTCTGTGTTGTGTCTCTATGTGGGTGTGGGTCAAAATAAACCCACCAGGGGGCCGCAGGTTTTAGTCTTTGGTTCCATTTATCAGGGCAAGCCATTTTGGGTATGCATTTTTGCAGCCATGTGTGTGTGTGTGTCTTCCTCGTGCGCCTGTGCGTCTGTGCGTCTGTGTGGGTCTGTGTGGGTCTTATGGCAGGCGCAGCGGCGACTCTTCACAGGTCTTCAGAGTGGCGTGATCATCGCCCGGCGCAAAGCTGCTTTCGAAGGCTGAATGAATAGGTCCTTATATGGACCCGTGGCCATGTTGGACCCCGAAAAAGGCTGATGTCCCGCAAACAAACCCATAACTAACGGCTACTTCACCTGTAAACTCGGGCTTCATTTCGGGGCTTCGTATACTGGGCGTATACATTCAGCCTTTGATGATTGACATGGGCGTGTCTTAAAATAGAGGGCACCCCCCAAAATGGCATCGCTTTTCCGTCTGGTGTCTCTTGAAAGCGCACCAAAACAATGGGTACCCTCAAAAGAAACACCCCCACATTCCATAGTTTCAAGTTTTAGAGGCAAAACGGCTTGAACAATCGAAGCCTTGGGATGTGAGGTCTTGGTATAGAGAGGGCTGACATGTAAAGAAAAGTCGCAACATGCACTGAAGATAATGCGGATTCTTGCAGCTGGATGGCTCAACCCCGAGCAAAACGTTTAGTTCTGCTTTTTGTGTGGGAATAATCATATTTTTCCGGAAAACGGCGGCCTAACATCTAATCCATCCAAATCGCAGCCACGCCACGGCAAAGTCTTTTTGCAAGGCTTGGAGGATGGAAGGCGTCGCAAGCTGAGGTTTGGGATACCTCCATCCTTCCGCTGAAGGTCATGTGCAGCATCCCTGACACCACGCAAGCACTCTCCAGGCCGGTTTCGTGAAGGCACCTCATTTAGGGGTGGGAATCCGGTTCCTGAGGTTTTGAGGTTTCTAGGTTTCCCATGTAACCCATTGTATTTAGCAGGGGATCCGAAAACGCACAGCCCAGATTTTGCAGCGTTCGTTTGGCGTAATGCGAGGGGGCCACCCATTTGAGGAAGTCCCATGGCTCAAGAGGATTGCTGGGTGCGACGGTTACGGCTCAAAAGACGAGTCCGGGGCTGTTTGACTGTTTTTGGTGGGGTTCAGCCGTGTTCTTCCCCTTTTGGCGGTTTTAAGAATCACCATTCAGGCCGATTTAATGTGAGTGTTCTGTCAAATTTTGGTTTTTGCCAGAGGAAGATGTAAGGAACTCCCGAGGTATCCCTTTTGCGGGGCCCTGGGGCAGGATCACAGGCATGGACTACGAGGCTGGCTCCGGCACGTGCGCTTCTCAGAGGCTTCAGCATATTTCAGCGACCTTCACCAAGTGATTGTCTTGGTGCTCAGTAGGGAATGAGACACGGAAGGACCCCAAGAGAAACAATCCCCGATTTGGTTTCCTTTAAGGGAATCCCGTCCCAGTTCATTCCGAACAACCTGACCACATTCCCTGCTGATCACCAGCAAGTCGTGCCTCAGTGGCAATTTGAGGTAAGATACGATGCGCGGAATGGGTTTTTGGGTCGTGTTCTGCTGCACTTGGCTTAAGAGTAGAATGCTGACTTGACTGGTGCTGCAGTGTTGCTTTATGGGCCTCCTGGCTTGTGGTGGGGGTATTCAGTTTAGCTGTTTTAGAGAGGGAGCTAAGGTACAAGGACCTTCCCCAGAATTAGCTCCCTTTTTTTTCTTCTTTGCTTTTTTGGGGTCCCTTTGTGTTCCACTAACCAGGCACAAAAGAGATATTTTTTTGCCGGGGTCCTAATTCCAGCCTAGCGGACACGGGAGCTTCTCTCACGTTGTGTTTCGGCTCAAGGTTTTGTCGCAGTGACAAATCAACTCGGCCCCGCCGAGTCCGGCAGAGTCCCTCTTGACCCACGTGAGGCGGGAACAAATTCAGCGTCCAGTCTGTGTGGGTGTCTTTTTGAGGGTGCCCTTTTGGGGTCGGTTTAGGGAAGCCAAAGCAAGTTTTTGTGGGAACCCCTATTTTGAAGCAGCCCCTTTTGTTGCGCCGCTTGAAACAACATTGGTTGCCGGAACGAATAGAAAAGGGCAGCGACGGGTCGCACAATCGTGACAGAGCCGTCCAATCCAACTTGAGGCGGTTTCGTCCGCTAGGTGTGCTTGACGTGTGTGTGTGTGTGTGTATGTTTTTTGAAGGTTCCCTTCCCTTTTCTTGGATGGTTTTAAACGGACACTTGAGGGAAGCCACGCTTTGTTGGGTTCCTCTCAAAAAAAAAAGACACTCACTTGGCGTTCGCCTTGTCGTGGGGCCCGGTGGGAGAGCGAATCAGAGGCCATGGACGAGAAGAATCACGGGCCCAGCTTCAGCATGGACATGCTGAAAGATCCGGCGGCTAGGGATCAAATGGCTGTGGGTCCAAACCAATGGTACCATTTTGGGGTAGGTGCACCACCCATTTTAGGCTTTATTTTAGTGGGGATTGGGATGTTCACCGGGGTTACGGGCTTTCGACCCATGGCCAAATGAGTGCCACGTTATTTTATTTTTTTTCCTTGGGGAGGGAGAGGTGACCCGACAGGAAACCACCCATTTTGGGAGTTCCCCTATGTTGACACGAACCCAAATCTAAGCGGTGCTGTCCAGCTCACGCATGCTCACGGCAAGCAATTGAGACACGATCGGGACGGAGGGCACGTGGTCGGAGCAGATACCTGCGCTATGATGCGTGTTGAGGGGACCACCTTGGAACAGAGCAAATAAAAGAACAAACCCCTAGAGGCATCCAACAACACTTAGTGGGCTTGTGGCCTGGTACTAGCACTTAGTTTCCCACCAACTTCTCATTCGGGATTGGACACCTGTTTTGCTATATTTTCCGTTTGGGTGGATTTAAGCATCACCTTTAGGGAGTTCTTTCTCTAGAACTTTTTTGTTTGGGGTTGTCGGGGGGGGGCCCTGTGTTCCTCCGTGCCTGCCAAGGAGAAGCTGAAGTTCCTGATGATGAAGTGCCTTGACTGGAAGCCACCTGTGGCTTTTCATGGTGCAACCACTCGCTACACATGTCATCGGCCCATAAAATGTGCCTCTTGTCCAGGAAAGGGTTTTCTTTGGAAGGCACCGGTGCCTTCTTTCGGTGACAGCAGTCCGTATGGCCTCGCTGAGTCCAACGGATAGTTGGTTATGTTATGGGTTTGGAGCTCACCGGTGTTTTCAGGAGTAAAATGAGCCTTTTGTGATGTCCTTTGCGTATTACAGGCTTGGAATTCCAAACATGTGGGTTTGCCTCAGAAATACAAATCCGACCCCTCCAAAATGGCGTCGGTTGTCCTTTTGGTTTCCTCACATTAAAAAACCAGCCCCCAAAAAAGGGTAGCAACCCTAAGGAGAGACCCATCTCAGAGTGCTTTCCTTGCGCTTGCCGGTTCAACGTGGCACCCAGGTATTCACAATCCGAGGCTTTCAAGCTGCTTGGATCTGAATTTGACTGGCATAGTCGTTTAAACCGAGTTGGGGGGTTGATCCCATGATGCTTGGGATGGCTTTTGTCCATCCCAACGGGTGGAATGTGTCCATCACACAGTCAGTGTACAGTGCCGAGTGGCAGTTGCTCCTGATGCATGCTGGCTGCGTGTGGGCTTCGTGTAAGAGCAAATTTCTCCCTGAAGTCTGAGAATCGCTTTCCCATTCCCATTGCCCTCGTCAATGCATCCAAGCGCTTCAATCACTTTCTCACATCGCCCTCCATGGGTACGTCTTTTTGGCGGGTACTCCTTTTTGGCGGTTGTAAACGACAACAAAAAGGACAAGAACCATTTTGGCGGTCACCAAAAAACGACACAGACACACAACACACACACACACCACTCCTCAGGATCTGGGGTGGCTTTGCCGTGATTGCCTTCATTGTCTTCATGCTCGTCTCCAGCGGTGACTTCTCCTTCCTTCTGACTCTTGGCGCTTCGTGGGTGTCAACAAGCCGTCATATGGGTGTGTCTTGTTTTGAGGGAACCCATTTGTGTGGTATTGAAAGGGAAACCATAAGGACAACCACCATTTTGGGGGTCCCCTAAAACAAGACAGACCCATATGGCCACTAGTCTTTTTTGCTGCGGGTCAGTTGTCAGGAATTTCACCTTGAAGGTGATTTCTGGCCTCCGGCTTCGTGCGTCGTCATGTGACCATGTGTCAAAACAGGGGGGGGTGGGGGGTGGGGTTGGACTTTCAAAGGGTGGTCTCCCTTATAGCTTTCTGACATAGGGAAAATAGGGTGTACCCTTTGAAAGCACACATGCCAATGCAGCAGAACCGAGATGGATCCTCACAAGAAATAGCAAGCCAAGGACGCTGTCATCCTTGCTAAGCATGCAGCGGGCCCAGCCGGCGCAGGGTGCGGCATTTACCGGTGTGCGTGCATGTGTCTTGTGTGTGTGTGTGTGCGTTTGTGTTCTGGAGGCGCAGTACCCAGCATGTTTTCACAAAGCTTCCATATGTTAAATGATAATGTTGAAGAGGACATCCTTCTGGTTGCCGCTGGGCTGATTATATTCAAAGGACATACCCCTGGCCCTGCAAGGAAAGCCAAGATGTTGAAACTGCGGTTTAGGCCGTCGTCCAAACAAGAGGTTGGCCCTTGCTTAGGTTCAGCTTCCTGATGGTTGCCTTGAAGATGGAAACCGGACGGTCCTGCAAAGGCGTTTCCATGAAGATGATGGAGCGGCCTGGATGCATGTTGGGTTCAAGTCCCTGTTCCTTGATTGGTTTAGTTGTTGGGTTCTCGACGTTTTAGTGGGTGGCTGCAAAAGACAGACGTGTTTTTCTTTCCTCTTCTTGTTATTCCCCCCCCCTCTTGCTCAAGGATTAGAAAGCTCATACCCGGGCTAGGGCAAACTTAGCTTTCACAAGGCCTTGCCCTTGAAAAGCACGGCAAAACAAGCTACGCTTTCACCAAGCCTCCCATTGGTTGGGGTTTTGGCCCTCTTGCAGCCAGGTGCTACGATCCCTCGGCGACCCGCTCGCTAGCGACAGACTTTGGGTTAAACTTGGTCATTGTTCCCAGCCAAGCACGGATGAAGCTCAGAAAAACCAAAATACACAAGCTCCAGGAGAAGCCGCAAAGTGGATTTTGATTGCCTTTTTGGTTTTGTTTTTTCGGCAGGCTAGAGAAGCTGCAAAGGTGCTACCTGGTGATCTTCTTCTTTCGCCTTTGTGCCATCATCCCCTTCGAAGGCTACCTGCCCTTCGACAAGCGGCCTGGACTGGCAATGCGCTTTCTCGCTCGAAGTGTGGATGGGCAAAATCTGCTCCGCAGCAGATGGCAGATGGCTTCCCTAGTCTTTGTTAACTTTGGATTAATAAACCAACCCCCGCCCCCATCCCCCTCCCCAGAATGTCACACCTCAGATAAATTAAACGGGTTCCGTGGAAGAATGGTCCGCGGGAGAAGCTAGTTATATGTGTCTGCTTTGCGCGATTGAGGACGCATTCAGCTGAAATTGACATCAAACGATGTTTTGGCAGGAAAATGATTCTGCCGAACGTGCCAAACAAACTAAGTGAAGGCTGTCCCAGAGGCCCCCATCAGAATTTAGAATTGTTTGGCTCCCAAAAACGTTCCGTAGCAATCCGTGGTATGTAAGGATCGCAGTAACATGAAACATTCAGCTTCATCCATCCCGACCTTGCGCAATCTGTTGCTTGTTTTTAGCATCGACCCTCAGGCACTTTGAGGGCTTGGCGAGCTGCCCCTGCCGACGACTCGAAGTCAGCCCTTTGCGCTGAGGTCAGGCGACTGGTTCTACCAGACCTGCGAGGCGGGTGACGCGTACGGCACGACGTCTGACTTGGGCCTTCCGCATAGTGTGCAAGGTGACAAGCTCCCCATTTGCGCATGTGTTCGGGATTTGGGTGTGGCTCAAAAAAAGAAAACAACAAGAGCTAGGCGTGCGTAGGTTTTTTAGGCTTCCATTTGCCACCGGGTTCTACACAATGGATGGACGCAATCCAGTTCGCACCGCTTTTAAGTTATGCGAAGCCAAACAACGTTTGTTGGTATTTTCGTAGGGGGATCGAATCAGAAGCCATTTCTGAGTTTCCGAACGGTGCGAGATGGATTTGGTCCATCCACAGTACCTAGGTCCCCCAGCTAGGTGCCCTTTCTCACTTTTTTTTTGGGGAGGGTTCCCCTACTAAAATAGACTGACTACAGAAAAAATCGGGCACCCTCATTCAAACCTCTCTACTGGAGGACCTAGATGGTACCATTTTCAGCCCCTGAGCATTCGGACCTTGGTGCAGGCCTTGGGCTTTTGCCTGGCGGGGAC